CGAAAGAAATGGTAGCATGACAGTCGATTTCGGTGACGCGGGGTCCGCGAGGCCATACCTGAAGCTTATCTTGACGCCTGGGAACCTAATTCCTGGCTGATTCAAAACCTGGTATCACCCGGAAAGTCCTTTTCCTGTCATCGCCCACGCCCCCAAAACCCGTCATCATGATGTCTCCTATCCGCGCGGGGTACTGTGCCGCGAGGCAAGGCTAGAAACCGCCATTCAACCCTACCGCAATCCATCGTTTATACTAATAATCAATCTAAAGGATGTAGAGGTCTATAATGCGGCCCGTGACGGCTTTCTCACTATAGTCGACGAGGTTACCAAGGATGCAACCAACCTTCCTGTTGACCCCAATAAGCCTGGCTATGTTAATATGACCTAGTTTGATTAGAAGCGTGATGCTGTTGTGGCTGCGATTGAGAAGATGTGCAACCAGACAGCCTTCATCCGCCGGGAGACCAACCGCCTCGACGACGAGGGTCGACTTATCTGGCGTCCCTAGGGCTCCCGTCTTATGGAGCTTGACGAGGAGCTCTTCGTCATGTGCGTCATTGACCTGGTGGCCATGTCGGGTTACCACGCTCGCGTCCTGGTTTGAAGCCGAGGGTCGACTGGTGTGTTGTGATTGGGGCTGGGATTGATTATTAGTATAGAGTAGACCTTGATTCCTAGATTATCATACCATAGTGTGGTTCCAGCCAGGGTTACGAGACAGGCTCTCACGCAGCTCCTAAGCACGGTAGTAGGATGCTAGGACAGCCTCCTAGATCTTATCCTAGGTTGTAATATTCGCGACTAGATATATTTAAAAAGAACAAATAAATTAAATAAAAGAATATTTAATTAAAAATTATTTTTTTAATTAAATAAAATATTATAAATGTTTTAAAAATATTTAAAATAATTTTTAATTTTATAATTAAATATTAAAAATTATTAAAATATTTTTAAAATATTATAAAAAATTAAAATATATTTATATATTTAAAATTATTTATTAAAAAATCTTAAAATTAATAAATTATAAATATATTAATTAAATTAATTAATTATAAATAAAATAAATTATTATTTTATAATTAATTAAATTAATATTAATAAATTAATTAAATTTAAAATAATATAAAATAAAATAATTAATATTTTTAAAAATAATAAATAAATTTATTACTTTAATTAAATATTATATTATAATATTTATTATAATTAAAAGTATTTTAATATATTAATTTAAAATTAAATAATTTATAAATATAATATAAATACTTTAACTTTATATAAATAAAGTAAATATATAACTTATAATTCTTAAAAAGTTATTTTATAAAAGATTATTTTATAAAAGGTTATTTTATAAAAAGTTATTCTATAAAAGGTTATCTTATAGAAGCTTATTTTATAAAAGGTTATTCTATAAAAGGTTATTTTATAAGATATTATTTTATAGAAGGTTATTTTATAAAAGGTTATCTTATAAAAGGTTATCCTATAGGAGGTTATCCTATAAGAGGTTGTTCTATAAGAGGTTGTTCTATAGGAGGTTATCCTATAAGAGGTTGTCCTGTTGGAGGTTGTCCTGTTAGAGGTTGTCCTATAAGAGGTTGTCCTATAAGAGGTTGTCCTGTTGGAGGTTGTGACGTAGGGGTGTTGTCAGACAGGGTCCGCCATCAACGCAAGAACACAAAGCATGCCTTCAAGGCCGTGAATAGTGCCCGTGACCAGCTTGACGCCATGGCCAAGAATATGGACAAGACCCGTGAATTACTTAAGGGTCTTAAGGTGGCTGGTAACAGCCCCAATGGCAACGAGCTTGGCCATATGTCAACCAAGATTAATTCTATCCATAACAGGCTTGACTCCCTAATTGTCGTAAGGCAGGTGCGTCTTAGATAGTACATAGCAGGCACTCTCATAGGAGCGAGAGTAGGCTCAAAACTTAGCCAGAACAACACCACCAAATACACACAATTACTCCTACAAACATTTATAACAGACCTATTGACACTAATGCTGGAAAAGCCAGACCCAGCACTAAGCAACCACCACATAGGGTTACTCATCTCAACTAACTATAAGGCTAGCGATATTAGTCCTATTGTAAATCCAAAAGTGTTGTATTCTAGATTGTTACAGGTAGAGAATCATGCTCACCTGGTTGACCTTGCATCCAGTGAGAATAAAGTAGCGCCGATTAGTATTGGCGTCGTTGCCCTTAGGGTGGACCAGGACGGACTCCCATTTTCCGTAGTTGAGAGACATATTTTCCCAGTAGATACTTAAACTAGGTGTCAGTCAACACCATACAGCCTTTCCCCTATTGAAAATCCATAGTTATCGCAAGGTCGAGCTTATAACCGTAACTTAACGTAGACTGTAGGCTGACGCAGACTGTAGGCTGACGCAGACTGTAGGCTGGTACTGCCGTCGACCGAGGTGTGTGTTTTTGCTCCCGGCGACCCGAGGGTGATTCCGTCGACTCGAGGGTGATTCCGTCGACTCGAGGGTGATTCCGTCAACTCAAGGTATAATGCCGTCAACGCGATGGTACTGCCACCAACGCAGACATGTTAAGTTAGTGGACCGGTCTGCGCACATCCCCACCAACGCACATTATTTCTAAAATATATAATATATTATTATTAATTCTATATATATTTTAAAAATCTATATTAAATATATAATATTATTTTATTTAAATAATATATAATAAAATAGAAATAATTTTATTAATATTTAAATTAATAATAATAAATTAAATTATATAAAATTTATAATTTAGTTTATAAATAAATATATTAAAATACTTTATAAAAAATAAGTTATTTTATTAAAATCTTTATATTTTATTTATATATAGAAATACTTTTATATTAAAAGAAAAGTTAATATTTTTAAAAGATTATTAAAAATTAGAACTCCTTTTTTAAGTTTCTTTATTAAATATAAAAATATTTTTATAAACTTTAAATTATTAAAAAAATATTTATTAATAATATATATTACTTATTATATATATATAAAATCTATTAAAAATATAAGAATTAAAATTTAAAATAATTCTATTTATAGAAAATTAATAGAATTAATTATTAAAGATTTAAAAGAGTGGGGTAAATCTCTCTATTATTTCTACTCTACTTTTCTTAAATCTTTAATAATTAATTCTAATAAATTTCTATAAATAGAAACTTTAAAAATATATGTAAATATTATAATAATATATATTTTTATAATAAAACTTATATTATTATTTAATTTAATTAAATTATAAATTAAATTTTAATATCTTAACTAATTTATATATTAATTACTAGTTAATTAATTAAGAAAGAAAATATTAAAGTTTAATAATTTATTTTTAATATATAATAATAATAAATTAATAATTTAAATTTTTTTTATTATAAATAAAAAATCTAGTTTTTAATAGTATTAAATTTATTTATATAATATTTTTATAGAATTAAATAAAGTATAGTGAAAATCAACCTTTTTAGTGGGAAATGCGTGTGCGTTGGTGGGGATGTGCGCAGACCGGTCCACTAACTTACTAATCATCTCAACTAACCATAAGGTTATAGATATCTCTGTAAGGTTCTCTAGGGAATACGTTCCTAATTTTAATAAGCTATTCAAAAAGGTTGGAACCATCAAGACAGCTATCACACAACAAGTCCCTAAGTTCAACCAGCTATAATCTGCTATCATGGGGCGCCCTGCCTGCAGAAGGTTGGTTTTGGGTGCCTGCAGGGGCTTGCTTACATAACTAGACTACAGATCCACACCGTGACAAGGGATTGAGAACAATCCCACTGAGACTGATAAGATAACTAGAGGCGCCCGGACCACCCGTTAGGGGACCAGGCAGCTGTCCAACACTAGGGCTAAACTGGAAGGCGGTCTTAAAACGGACGCAGGGTGGCAGAATCCTCCCCCATCGAATATTTAAACCCAGCTGCCCTCCCACCTTTTCCATTCTTCTTTCTCTCTTTCCTTTCTTCATACTTACCTTGTCTGACTACCGGTTGATCAAGAATAACTGGTAGTAGGTTGGAAAGCCTGCATAGCACATCGTGGCGCTGACCAGTCTGGTTTGTCCTTCGGGGCCGACCTGGGCGGAATTTTTGATATCCCAATCAGTTTGCCTGATGCCTTTTTCATCTTGCCTCATCCGCTTGCGGGTGACATCATGAAGAAGCAGTCACCACCGACCTACCGTACCTGCCGTTGTAATGTTGTTGCCTGGGGGTTGCCGCACACCCCCGGAAGAAGGGCAAGAACAAGGCAGTCCGTTTCTCATGTAACTTATCGGTGTCAAACGTGTTCATAAATCTACCTACGTAATTATCCAGCTCCCCCCAGCTCAAAGTCAGGTGCCTTGGTGGTGGGCGGCGGTAACGGAGAGGGAGCTGCTATGAATAACAATCAGAAGGAGCTACTGCGAATGAAAATCAGAAGGAGCTACTGCGAATAAGAATCAGAAGGAGCTATTGCGAATAAGAATCAGAAGGAGCTGCTACGAATGAGAATCAGAAGGACCTGCTGCTCGCAGCAGCCAGACCTACATGGCCGCGATCAGGGCCGCGATCGCGGCGCCAAACCGTCCACTCCATGCGGGAGACTGGCATCAACAACCTCCTACAGCACAAGCTCCTGTAGGATAACCTACTCTAGGACCAGTGGGTGAGCCGGCCGAGGCAGTTAGGTTTATCTCGATATAGGCAGTAGACTACCCAGGCCAGCGGCCAGGATGCTGCAGGTCCCCGGCCTCGTTGTCCTCCCGACCGCTACAGTTGGACGGACCGGAGACATCTGCCAGAATGCCCACAACCTGGAGGGCATCCCGCTCACAACGAACGGCCTTCACCTCATAACCTGTTCTAAAGATAGAAATATAATGGAAACTAGTATACATATATAATGTGGTTGTAGAAGAACCGTGGTGCCAACATGAATGGTTTTGGTGGTACTTGGTAGCGGCGGTTTCCTCTGCTGGGCAGGCGGCCGTTGGCGCGTCGGCGGCAGGCACAGTGGCTGGGGCCGCAGCTACCTCAACTGGAGGGTGCATGTGGTGAATCAGGAAGGCACGACCGGGCGAAGTGCAGCCAGCAGGCCATTGCCGTCTTCATTGTCGAGACCAGTCCCATGGAACAACATCTACAGCAGCTCGACTGCTTGAGCGGGACCTCGAAGGGGAGCACTTGAGTGCCCGCCTGCCAGCGCCAAGGCATCTATCTTTTGGCCTCGACACACGGTCGCCCACAACTGCTGACAGCTCAAGGCTCGACCCAAGCACCACCGCCCATCATCACCATGGGCAGACACGGCCCCCTGACGTCCATGGCCCTGGGCCGCTCGCCCTACGACGACATCATCATGGGCGAGGGCGAGGGCGACCCGCGCGCGCCTCTGCAGATGTACGACGAGCGCGGCAGGCCCGTCAACCCTGAGACGCGTCGCATCAACCGCGACATCATCCGCTCTCACAACGAGGTCATGCTGGTCATCGGCGTCGTCGAGGCCGAGAACAGCATCGACGAGGTCCGCGCCGAGCGTGCCCGCCACATCGCCCACCTGCAGCACGACACCCGCCTTGCCCACCGCTTCGAGTGGGCCTCGCGCGCCTGCGAGCTCGCCGGCGTCTGGGGCATCGCCGGCTTGCGCCACCGCATCCTGCTCTACCGCGAGTACTCGCACGTCCCCGTCCCGCGCCTGCCCTGGCATGAGCTGCAGCAGCGGTCGCTGCGCAAGCTGTTGTGGGATGGGCTGCCCGCTTTCGTCGTGGCAAACGCCATGGAGCTGCCTTTCTTCGGCCGGCGTATCATGAGCAGCACTGCTCTGAAATGGGGCTTCACCTACATCCAGACGATGCTCAAGGCCTGGATCTTCTTGTCCCGCACTTCACTCCTGCCCGCATCGGCTTCGTCTTGGTTCCCCGGCTGCAAGTACTTCATCCCGTTCACCTCGTCATCTATCATCCCTCCATGCCCTCTACCCACCGCGCTCACCTCTCGATCCGTGGCTTCATGGCTGGGAAGCGTCGGTCTTGCTCTCGCCCCGGTCCTGGGTCTATGGTTCTCGGAAGGTCTGGTCGACTGGGTGAGGGAGTTCTTCTATGAGGTCTTCTACGATCTTCTCCCGAACCCATCAGGCCCAGAACTAAGCCCAGTCTTATCCAATGCCATCGTTCAACGAGCTACCACCAATGCAGACGACCCTGCCCAGCCTCAAACACCGCCAGGCCCTGTGCCCACCCTCTCGAACGCCGCCGAATCCCTACCCGTTCGCGTTGGAGGTGATTCGGATGGGGCCACGCCTGGCGAAGCAAACGTGTGGGAGGTGCCTCAGACGGCGGATGCTCCAGCCCCGCCGGCATCGGATCCTGATGCTCCCCCCCGAGAACGCAGCCAGTCTCCCCCGGCACGAAATAGCAGAGCCGGCCGGCCCGACACGCGCCGGCGTTCCAGCCATCGCCCCCAGCCATTCCAGACCGCCGATACCGACGATTTTACCGATGAGGACGAGGATGCCAACGAGATTGTTTCAGCCACGCTCATTAGCTTTGACGTCGAGAACAACCCCGAGAACCCAGATCCCAACGACGCCAATATCCCACCGGGAGTCTGGTCCGCAGAGCTGAGACCCAATCCGGGCAACGACTCACAGGGTGGGGGCGGAGGGTCCGGCGGCCCTGGCGACCGTAACGGCGAGGACCGGTCCCGGCGCACGCCAAGGCTGTACAGAGACAATGCCCTGACGCGGCTTCCCGCGACCCTTGCGGCCGATATGCTGGCCCGCCGGGCCGCCTCGCTACTCCTCGCGCCCATGGAGGCCATGATGCTGAGGTACATTGCTGAGAGCTGGTGCCGGCCGAGGGGCCTATCAACGGCGAGCATTGGGGGTTTCTCGCGGGGTGTGGTGCTGAACCTGCTAGCGGTTGAAATCGTTCACTTCCTGTTTGACGCCGATTTGTGGGCGTCCATCTCAATGGTGTCGAATGAGTTCGTCATCTCGTCTGCGGAGTGGGAGAAGTTGCAGAAGGAGGAGCAGGAGAGACAGCAGCGACAGCAGCAGCAGCCAGAGGAAAGGGCCGTCGGGAGACCAGAAAATTCTGGAGTGAGGAATGAGCCAACGGGCTAGAGACTCGGGCGAATTCGTCGCCGCATTTCTCGAGACAAACGAGTCGTCCCTGCAGGTGGACGAACCTCTCAAACCTGCCACTTTACGAATTGCTCTGGCAATCTATTTTTTTGACATACAATCTGACCGGGGGATTTGAACCTCTGGACCTCGCGAGAGTGATGATCAATCGCTTTCCCGAGTCGCGAAGTTCCTCAGCTTGGAGGGATCTCTTTATACAGTGGCGGGCACAAGACGGTGATTTCCCGCGGGGAAATGTTCTGGATGCAGTCATCGCTGACCTTGGGAACTCAAATGAAAGTGAAGGATTGGTACCCGTCGTTGAGGCATTGAGCAGAGCCTTGCAGGCGTCACATGATCCGCGGGCACCAAGTCCAGGCAACAGTGCAGGATGCTGAACTCCCAGTTCAGATGGAGACCGATTAATGCTGGTTATGAGCACCATTGTGCTAGCGTCTTAGGAACGTTAAGCTACTGAAGGCGTGGGTATGGGTCATATCACAGGGGTTGCCCTCGGCCTGAGGTGCTTATCCAGCTTCGTGCTGTGACGCAAGTACGCGTACAGTTCGACTATCGCACAAACCATTACAGCAATACAGCTACGTAGAAGGATGAAAGAAAATTATACACTTCCTCGTAGAGCCCCTACGGGCTTGCCTATCTCCGGTCTACTGTTCTATGGGAAGTCATTTTGTAGAACACCCTGCTGGGGATTTTCCTTGCGAGACTGTTCTGTAAGAGCTTGGGTTTAGATGCTGTGCTCACACAGCGGGCATCAATGCTCGCGGCGTTTATGGGAGCATAACGTTGAGTGCTCTGCTCTGGCATGGAGGCGGTTCTTAGTGATCGATAACCCTCTTAAAAGTAGCACGTCCAGCGTAACTAGAAAGGACCTCCTAAGGCTGCTACAGTCTCACGTTAACGGGTCGAAACAAGGATGCTCAGGTGCGGGTCGGGTTCCAGCGTCGCGGTGCAGTGGCTTCCGCTGGCGGGGTCCGGCGTGGAATATGTCTATTTTAGGTAGTTCTCCCAACCACCTGTCAGCATGAAATCCCAGTTCGGCTCCGCGGCCTTCGCACGACAGATCCTAGCAAAATATTATATAATCCGAGAACTTGACGGAGTGTCCGATTCTGTTGTATGCTGTTTATCAAGTGCCACGGCCTGCTTTCAGACGTGCCGGTCACCCATACTCTGATCTATTGCTTCTTGACAACCTAATTCGTTTCTGACGGCCCACAGACGGCCCACCCAGAACCACTTGGGCATTGGAAGGAACGAAATATCATGACTGCAAGCAAGTACGGCCCCGAGGTGCAAAAGGTGCCGGCCAACACTCCAGTCGAAGATATCATATACCTCCTCAAACGAGATGGTGGAGTCTTTGTCAAGGGCCTCGTCCCCGCTGCCGATGTTGACAAGGCTTTTGAGGATTGCCGGGCAAGGCTCGAATCTGATGTCGAGTGGAATGGTCAATTCTTCCCTAGTATGTGAGGCGAATGCACGCACAAGCTCTTGCATTTTCACCTATTCTCTTCGCATCACCTTTACCCATACTGACCTGATCCTGTCTAACTGCCGGTCGATCACAAACAACACCACTCTTTCCGCCCATCATTTTCTCGCCATTTGGCTGACAATACATACTTTCTCTTCCGCACCCCGCAGAAGAGACACAGCGCGCCCCGTCGCTGCTCAAGCATAGCCCAACTTATGCGCGGACGCAAATGATGAATCCGCTCTACCAGAAAGTGGTAGAGCACTTCCTCACGACTCGCAGCTGGTTCTGGTGGGGCAATGAGAAGAAGGAGTCGGTGTCCAAGCCATATGTACATTCGTGTACGGCAATGAGCATCGGACCGGGGGGCAAGGCCCAGCCACTCCACCGGGATGACTACATCAGTCATAACTACCATTCTGAGATTGACGCCTGGGATGACGAGCGGGACAAGAATCGCGAGACGGCGGTGGGCTTGTTCGTCGCTGGGTGCAAGGTGACCAAGGAGAACGGGGGAACACAGTTTATTCCTCGATCACATCTGTGGTGAGTCCTTATTACCTAGGTAGTCCTGTCCGGGGCCCCGTCTGCCTGTTATTATTATTGTTCTCTGCGGTCTACACCCGTGCCATTTCAAGTCCAGCCTGCGATTGGCATTCGTCCGATTTTCCAAGTTTTGACGTCTTGCACTAACATACTTTCACACCTCGAGGGGAACCGACCGGCACATGCCTCCACGCGTGGAAGAGTGTATTTTTGCCGAGATGGAAAAGGGCGACGCGTTCATCATGCTGGCATCGGCATACCATGGAGGCGGGAACAACACTACCAAGGACGAGCGGCGGCTGATGTTTGCCACATTTTCGGTTCGTGGCTACATGCGACAGGAGGAGAACCAGTACCTGGCGGTACCCCAGGATGTTGCCAAGAAGTTTGACCGGGACATACAGGAGTTTATGGGCTACTCGATGAGCGACCCGGCCGGTGGCTTTGTGGAGGAGATGGATCCCATCTTCGTGCTGCGGCCCGAGGAAGACAAGGGGCCTAAAGACTTCTGAGATCATGGGACGACAAACGTTCTAGTGTCACCCGATTGTGTTGTGTTCATTTTTTAATATCTGACCAGCTAGCTTTCGAGGTTCATAATTCTTAAGACGCGATAGTATATGTCCGTACAGTCCTACTAACACCGCTCTGAACTGGTTCAAAAGCAAGCGTATTCCCTTGGGATCAATTGATACAAGTCGACAATGAACACGTGAAATTGTAGAAAAAGTACCATCCCCCCCCCCCCCCAAAAAAATGAAGCCTGAATTGATTTGAGGACACATACCCCACTCTGCCAGACCCACAGGAATGATCCACTCTACCTAGGTAGGGCAGTGTTCTGTGCCTCAAACCAAGCCTCTGAGGGCCCTGCTTACTTTCCCTGCTACATCTTTACACTCAACTTGTGGTTCCGTGGGATAAGAGCATCTGTATATGCTAGCCACCAGCTGGGACGTACTGAATCCAATCTCCAACAACTATAGCTGCTCTTCCAAGACTGAGATGTTACGGGAAGCTGGAGCCCACCTTCGTATGAAGTATAAGCTGTATGGCAGCTACATATGTACCTATGTAGAGCATTGCGTTGGAGAAAGATTATTGTTGGACAAGTGTTCACGCCACTGTGGAAATACGAGGTCATATTCATGTACATGCACTGTTGCGGAACGAAGATCTGTCCGAATGACTGCTCGCTCCTGAAAGTGACATGCTGCGGCTCGTTGTATTGCCTATTTAGGCAAAACACTCGGGTAGTTTCGGCCACCGCCTACAGTGTAACGCCAATGCTTCACAGGGCTGGCTGGGAAACGTACCCTTTTCAACAGCCCCCGCTACTCGCCAAACACCACACTCTAATAAGCAACAGCAGCAGCAGAACAATATGTCAGGCAGGATCAAGATGGCAAGAGGCTCGAAGGCCATCCGCAAAGGTCAGTCGACGAGGCAGCTTCTTCGATATTTCGACCCCTCGCCAAGCACCCGCGTATTTTCCAGGTATCCACAAGGGAAACTGTCTCCGCATTTGGCTAAACTCCCAACTCGCCAGCTGATTGAGTTGCGCACAAGTTGCTGACGTTGACCCGTCCAAGATCCGGCCTGTGGAACGTGCCGCAAGAAATGTCGCAAGTGTGACCGCTCTCGGCCCATCTGCAACAGGTGCAAGGCCAAGGGACTCCATTGCGAGGGCTATCCGCCAAGATTCCAGTTCTGCGAGCTTGCGACGCCAGTAGCAGAGGGTGGTACCAACGCAGACACGGCCCCGGCCCCGGCCCCAGCCCCGTTTACCGCCCCGGTTCCGCCCCCAGTTTCGAGTCCCGGTGACCGGATCAGCGCCATAGCCAGCCCTAGGGAACCAAGATTGGACGCCTTGCACAGTACCGAGCCCGTTGCCCGGCGGAGCCCTCCGCTCCCGCTTTGGCAAACTGATTTCTCTCCATTGGCACAGGATGCCCATACCGAAGGCGCTTCGCCGCCCGATGCTCATCTGCTCGATGACATGCTCCTGAGTAGTGATACTCAGGAGCTACTCAGGTACTGTAAGTATGTCGTCTTTTGTGCCATACACTAAGAGATATCTGTGGTCCTTTTGCTCCGTTTCCCCCGATGACTCACCTGCTATGTGGCTAACAAGATGGCATATATCCCTAGTTGATGAAGAACTGACTCCCGGTTTAACCATCGTTGTTGATGGTACCGAGAACCTCTTCCGTCGCTATCTCCTACCGCTTGTGTACCAGCATGTGGGCGTCCTGCATGCGGTGCTCGGCCTGGTCGCGTGCCACCTGCGGTCCTCCAAGCGAGATATGAGAAAGGCAACCGAGGCTGATGCACTGTGCCACCGAGTGGCTGCCCTCCGCATCCTGGGATCGTTGCTCGCTCAAGAGGAGAGCCAGGGTCTCAAGGCAGCTGAGGAGGAGGCGGTTCTCGCCATGATCCTGCTGCTGATCTTCCATGACGTGCGTCAAACCCCTGGGCTCCAAGATGGCCGCATGCCAAGTTCCCGAAGCCATGGCACGCTGATACATGCAGGCTAGATCTGCGAGATGGGTCTATCTACCCATGGAACCCACCTGAATGGGGTGAACTTCCTGTGCCGGAAGATTGCATCTGGCTCGAATCTGTCCAACAGATCCGACTCGATTCAGTTCTTCTTGGCAGCATTAGCCTGGTGAGTATATCTTAACCATCCTCCCATCCTGGCGCAGCCCTCCTGCTAGGACGTCAGTCCTCGGAACTAACCGATCCTTGCCTTATTGTCGCAGGCTAGACGTCCTCCGAGGCTTTAGCGGAGCAGAAAAGCTCACATACTCGGACGACGTACGGAAATTCGTCCTCGAGAACGGACGAGTCAGCCTCCACACCCTTGTGGGCTGCCCGCCGAGCATCTTCCAACGCATCGGGACCGTCCTCGAAGCCGCCAAGGGCTGGTTGGCGGGCACTGTGGCAAACGTAGAGTTCCACGCCGTACTACGGGATGCGGACAAGTATCTTCGCGAGCTGGAGCTCGACGAGGCCGAGTACCCGACGCAACACCCGGAATGGCGGCAACTGGCCGAGGCGTACCGGCACGCGTGCCTGCTGCGGGTGATGCGGTGGCCCGACACCTTCGCAGTCCCATGCGAGGACCCTAAGATCAAGGCATCGGTGGCAGCCATACTAGACGCGCGTGCCAACATCTCGGCCAGCTCACCTTTCTCCAAGCGAATGTTATTCCCCTTGTTCCTCGCGGCGGCGGACACGACGGTCCCTCATCAGCTGCACTACGCGTCCATGTCGATCAACGAGATCAGGAAGTCGACAGGCTTCTCGCACCCGGCCATGAAGACGGTCCTGGAGCACGTGTGGGAGGAGAGAAGGTCCAACACGAGGGGTTGGGCCAACGTTCCTTGGATGGAGTGGGTTAGTAGCAGTTGCATCCAACGCACCTTCCATGTCAGCAATGGCGATGACGACTAGTTGACTGACCTGGCGTTTAGACGTGTTCCGCAAGCTTGCAGAAGCAACACGCGTATCTGTTCTTTTGACCGCCGATGGGTCGGGAACAGCATTCACCTATGTAAGCAACGAGGCCCAACCTGGTTGGACTATGACCGTGGCGAATGCAGAGTGAAAGATCCGAAGTAGTCCCTGCCTGAGTGGAGGTGGTTGGAAGTATTTCCGAAAGAGGTTAATCCCATTTTGGAACCTCACTTTGTCCTCATAATCGGGGTCGGAGCGAGCCGAGTCTACACCATATAGCATGGTCCGTACCTGCCAATTGCAGCCCATGCCAGTGCAGCCTGCTTGCTCCACTGTATTTATTCAAACTTCTCAACCTACATTGACGGACGGGTCATACTTTCCCGCAAACTCTATCCCAGAACCCCAGCAGATAACATTGAATCGCCCTAGCAATGGCTGCCACAGAGAAGAACGCCCAGGAGCTCGAGAAGGCCTCGAAGCTCAGCAATATCCCCAAAGGGGAGCAGTACGAGAGGATGATCTCAGGCATGCTGTGAGTAGAAGACATGATATAAATCAGCGAAGCCCTTGATCCCAGGCCCGACCCCCAGAAATACCTGCCTGCCCCTCTCGACACCTAACGACCACCAACTGCATCGTCAACGGACCCCCCGCCCCACACCTGCTTCTTCCATCACGCTAACACTCGCTGGTCTCGCCCACACAGCTACGACTCGTTCGTACCTGAGTTACAGTCGGCGCGGTTTGCGGCGAGGGCATGGATGCACAAGTACAACAATTACTTCCCCTCGGATCCGGCCGCGGGGTTCGAGACGCTTGAGAAGGAGCGACACCAGATGCTGAAGCAGCTAATGGGCCGGGTGGGCGACGAGGTGTTTATCGAGCCGCCGTTGCAGGTTGACTATGGCTCCAACATCAGCCTCGGGAACCGCTTCTACGCCAACTTCAACCTGACCATCCTCGACTGTGCACTTGTCACCATCGGAGACCGCGTCATGATCGGCCCCAACGTCTCCATCCTGGCTGCCACGCACGAGGTTGAGGTCGAGAGCCGCCGCGCAAACATCGAGTTCGCCAAGCCCATCACCATTGGCAATGACTGCTGGATCGGTGGCCACTCGGTCATCTTACCCGGCGTGACTATCGGCGACGGCGTCACCATTGCGGCCTGCTCGGTTGTCACGAGAGACATTCCGTCTTGGAGCGTCGCAATGGGAACCCCAGCTCGTGTTACCAAGAAGGTAAAGCCGATGGAAGACAGCCAAAAAGAGCAAAAGTGACCGTGGTCTGGTCCCTTGCATGCTGTCCTTGCAAAATAAAGAGGCCGAGTCCATACGAGTATGGCACCCAAACCAATAATAGGCTGGGGTGGCCAAGATTGAGGCAGAGAAAGGAAGATGGGGTAGTACGTCTCAGAGATGAACGAACAGAAAAGGAAGAGGTGACATACAAGCTAGACCAAGACCGCATAAGCAAAGCAATTCCATACAGATGTTTGCAATGAGGCAGCACCCAGCATGGTTAGGAGAGCAGCATGCCTCTCCTGTGATGGGTTGCTCAAGTGTGAGGGGATGAAATTACTTAAGTAACTAATGAGATCCACATGTGGACGCTGCTTTTGATATTTCGATCAGTCCAGTTACATGAAGTTGAGAGCAGCTGGGAAAAGCCCACTAACTATGCATCTCGGCGATTCTGCTGATGTCTGCCTGCATGGCAACAGTCACGATGCCGTAGCCATGGATAGTCTTACCTAGGCAACAAGATTCCTTGAGCGCTCACGACCGTGGTATTTCCGTGGTATTTCACATGGTCGACATTGATGGCCATTTGTTCAGATAATCAGATTATTTTGCTCCAGGCTTGTTGTCTCATTATGTTAGAGTCACTGAACATGATGAAATTAGTAATTCAATAAACACCAGGATAAGCGAGCGAGTAAATAGCACAGCTTAGATTATACTAACAGCATAACTAGTCTAGAACTTCTAAAGTTCTGGCTGGATTTCACAATCCCAGAATTACCAGCAGCAAGATTAAATTCCCAATCTGCCGGCCAATCCTTTGATACTCTGTTACATATTCCATCCTCGTATCTGTAAGGCTTCATTGTTGGCCATCCTCGCCCTAATTACGCTTGGGACAGCCCGGCCCTCACAGAAGGGGGCAGGTTTGATGGGAAGTATTTCCCAAAATGGACGCAGAGGGCGCCTCGTTCAACGAGCTGATAGGATGCACGAACAAATCTCCGTGGGCACCCAGGCAAGCTTACTACCGCGACTGTCTTACCACCTCTCTTCTTCGCCCTTACATATGTAGACTTGCCCGTTACGCCGAACGAGAAGCTTCCGCGAACACTCAGGCCAACAGGCTTCTTCGACCTGAACCCATACAATGACGTGCCTCGCTCCGATCACAGCCGCAACAAGCCCGAAACACTACAGACTCATTCCACGGCCTCAAGGTGTCCATTTGAGATTCTTCTTTGAAAATCAAATGCCGACTTAAGTCAACAAGTAACCAAAGGGCTAGGGACGCCCTTCTGGGATATAAGTTTTGCAGATAGGGAGATTCTATAGCGTCTTTAAAGGCCTGGATGTGGCTTGGTTGAACGGCCCTGTCTGGCGACGTACCTACTTGCTAAGGTAGGTATATAACAAGCCATCAACATGATTCTGGTCTTCAATCAAAGCTCGGTCAGAGTTGCATAGCTTCTCTTCTTGAAACATGTATCTGGCTTATATGCTGCTTATCTGAACTTTGAACAACGCGGCGACTTGAGGTGGGGTTCTCCTATCGCGTCCTCCTTATCACTTGAGTGATGACCTCACCAATTGCGACAGACGACATCCCTCCAGTCGGCAGCATACCTTCGAAGTCATTTCATTAAATAGACATTTTAACATGATCTAGCTTGGATGATGATTGCTTCAGAATCGAATAGGCACACGAAATTGTAGCTTTTGCATACCCTCACTCGCTCGCGCCATGGGCGAGGACACATGCATCTCACCACAATTGCACAACGGCAATCGGGAGACTACAGTACTCACTAACGATAACGATGAAACGAACTCGGAAATACGCCCTCTCATCTCTCTCCCAAATCCCGGTATCGATTCAGCAACCACCCCAAAGAAACCACTCACCATCCTCAACGGCCTCGCCCTCGTCATCGCGTTACAGATCGGCAGCGGCATCTTCACCCTCCCGGCACAGGTAAGCCAGTCCGTCCCGACGCCCGGCGCCGGGCTGCTGGTATGGCTGCTCGCAGGCCTGCTGGTCTGGACCGGCGCGGCGAGCTTCATCGAGCTGGGTTGCAGGGTGCCGAGCAACGGGGGCATCCAGGAATACGTCCGCGTCGCGTATGGTGGTGGGGGGCAGAGAAGCCACGGCGACACCAATGATGAGGAGGACACAGCGGTGCAAGACCACGCGGCTGTCGAAGGCCCGCATGTGGACGGAGAATGTGGCCCGACTCCAGCAGCAGCAGTGGCAGCACGTGCGAGCGGCCGTGATGAAGTAGGACCCAGGGGCGAGCTCGCCGGCTTCGTGTTCACATGGACATGGGTCGTCCTCGCCAAACCAGCGGCCAACGGCGCGATAAGCACGATCGCAGCCAACTACCTGTCGCGGCCATTCCTCGCGGGTCCTTCATCGTCCTCGGAGGAGGGTGAGACGGGCCTTTCGCCCCTTGCGAGCAGGCTGACGGCACTTGCATGTATGTGCGCCATCACGGCGATCAACTGCCTGGGAGCCACGTCCGGCGCCAGGGCGGCCAACGTATTCCTCATGCTCAAGCTGTCCGCCCTGGCGAGCATTATCCTGGTGGGTCTGTTCGCCCTGGTCACCGGGTGGGGTGCTGATGGTGTGCCCGCGTCTGGGACCGGGTGGTTCGGGCGGCCTGAGGGAGCCACGGAGAAACCAGCGTGGCAGCTCGTCGGGGACTTTGTGACGGCTACGTTTGGCGCTGTGTTCTGCTACGGCGGATGGGAAACGGTACGAAACCAAGCACATCCCCCCCCCCCCCACACTCGCAGAGCGGCAATGTCTTCGAGGGAAGAGGAGGCTTGAGCCGCTCATATCGAACCATGGTGGACGAGACCGGAGGATGGAACCACTCTGACAACGCGACGCGAAACAGGTCGGCTTCGTACTGGGCGACATGGCTCAACCCGAACGGGACCTACCTCGCGTTATTACCGGCGCCATGATAACGGTGATTTCAGGCTTCAGCCTCATGAATGCTGCTATATACATCTGCCTGCCCTTCGAGGTTATTCGGTCGAGCAGCACGGTCGCGGTGGTACGTAGGACCCTCCTTCCCCTCCTGCCACCACCATCCCGCAGTGATCATGCGCCCGCCCGTGCTCATCCGTACCCACCTAAACGAGCTGGCAGGGACGCGGCTCGCCCGACTGCTTGGGATGACGCAAGCTTCCCTTGATGCGGGCGCTGGCTTGACAAACACGAGGTACCGGGCGCTGGCTTGCGGCGTGGGGGTGAGGCCGTTTCTCCTTTCACACATGGTCACAAAAGATAGCAAGACCACCTGCTGATGTGGAACCGCGGTGAGAAGGAGTTTGCACAACACACACTACACTCTGCGGCCGCCGGAGTCATCTTCTCTGTCGCGGTGTCTGCGTCGGCCCTGGGTGCCCTGAACGCAAACGTGTTTGCTACCTCCAGGCTCTGTGTCGCTGCAGCTCACCGAGGCTATTTCCCGGCGATCCTGGCGAATCTGCACTGCAGCTCCGAGGCGGACGAGGTCGACTACTTAGAGCAGGTGCTAGCTGGCCTGAAGCGCCCAGTGTTCTCTGTTCTGAAGTCTGGTGTGACTTGGGTCGCCAAGGCAACGAGGGAGTTACGCTGGCGGAAAGGTGTTCCGGTGTGAGTCTCCTTTCCTCTCTCTTGTCCTGTGATTACTCGTTGCTTTGGAGGGGCGATGTGTAGAAAGGGGAAGATAAATGCTTAGGGCTCGATGTGACCGGCCGCGGGCAAGGTTGGCTCACAACATTGAACAGATACGCAATGCTGCTGAACGGCCTCCTGGCAGCCTTCTTCATCCTAGTAGGCAGTTTCAACGGCCTGGTGGTGCTGATAGGTATGTCCGAACGAACAGACCCAATCTGGATGGCACGCTGCACTGGCATGGCTGATAGATAGCATGTGTTTGACCTTTGGACAGGGCTGACGGAGTACACCTGCTTCATGGCTGCCGTGCTCGGCTTGCTACTCATGCGCTCACGCGAGCGCTACCACGGGAGCCGCAACAACGGATTGTCGAATCGCTCCAGCAGCAGCCGCCCATCTCGCTACCGCACTTGGATCGGAAACCCTGTGGTCTTCAGCATTGTCAGCGGGTTCCTCATCCTGCGGGCCGTAGTGACCGACCCATTCCAAGGCCTCGCCATACTGCTTGTGGTTGGCTCGGGGGCCGCCGCCTTCTCCACGAGGTCTGGCCAGCTGCGGGCAAATTAGGAGTTGACAATCGGTGATGTATCCGGACTTTTCTAGCCTGCCGGGCGCAATTTGACCGTCTTCTTGTTGTTGAATGGATTGCTCCAGACTTGAGCCGCAGCTTACATCCACATCAGGGCGTGATGGTTTCGGCGTCAGCGTGAGCAACCATACCCGAAAGAGTGGCGCATCCCTACGTATACATGCACCTTGACATGAATCGAAACAAAGCGAGAATGTCAGCTCTCCCCAGACTTGCATTCTTGATGCGATGTCGCGCACGCCGTGGCCGCCGCAATCCCCCGACTCTTTTCTCGCACTTGCTACCGAACCGTCATTGACGGTGTTTCTCTCGCGTCTTGGTGGCTTAGCCTAGGTTCTACGTAACCTCAAGTAAGTGAGACTGATGACATGTGGCACTTGCGACCATGAGTCGGTGGCTGGCAGCGGAGCGTACGAACATGCAGAATGCAGGCGGCTGCCTCCTGGCCCCCGCCCCCCCCCCCCCAGGCGCTGGTGTAAGGGGAGAGAGAAAGGGTACTTCCGAGCCCGGAGGAATTCAAGACTGATTTTTCAACACCTGGTCATTCATTGGAGATGTTCAACAGCGCAGAGCTCTCTTGACCTAGACGGCGGAAAGCAATGTCGATCGCCGGCGGACAGTTCAACCAGAGCACCCGCGTTGCATCTGCCATTGGCCGCATGCGACGTCAATTATCACCAGATCCCCCGGGTGGTTCCGGCTTTCATGGCACCCACAACGGGCCGCATCAATATCGCATGAAGTCTGAAAGTTTGTGAGGGGGATCCGCCCCGTCGTTGTGTAACTTTGGGTGACGACGCAGGACTAGGCCAAGCAAGCCTGACAGGGCAACGGACACGTATGAGGCAACGAGATCCGACCGGTGATATATGCACTTAATTCTCCGGAGGCAAAGACGCGTTTTCACATGGTAGTCTTGCGGTCGCACACTATGGGACGCCGGGTGTCTGAAACCTGGAAAGCTGTAAATGCGGAAGTGCAAGCCAGTCCAATCCCACCCTCAGACAACTGTCGTATCGATCAAGATGTTATGTCTCGGTAAGCGGCACTAAGGTTGTGTCGCTCATGGGGTCCTACCAGTTTGCACATCGGGCGATGGGCTGATGCTAAGAGCCCACTCTTGCTGCAGCTCGATCTTCAGGGCCACGCGAGGCTAGCGACGTCTCCATATAATGCGGTGCCCAATGCCCTCGTACCTTGAGAGCCTGAATGGCGTAGAAGTCGAAAACGTAAGAATGTCTAGATGGTCAAGTCGTGGCACTTGCCTACCGCGTTAACCTGTTTGCCTGTCTACGGAGAGGACGATGCAGGATTGCATTATACATAATGTGGGTCACCGTCTCTTCCGGCCTTGCGTCAGATCATCGTCGAAAAGTCTGGTAGCGTAATTGGAGGTCAATCTAAGCTGCACCCAAGACTCTCGTTGGGCCTCTGATGGAGGGCATGAGTGACTCGAGGCCAGTCAAACCCCTACCTTTAGCAACAGCGGATAGAGTTGCGACGGCGTTGTACCTCTGATCGACGGCTGCGGTTTTCGAGAATCGGCCATGAGAACCAATCGAGATCCAATGTTGTTATGTTGCTAGCCCGGCACAAATGTACGCTATCCAAGCAGACACTCGCCCGTAGTCAACGGCCGGCTCACTCCTTACCTGGCAGCGCAAGGCTGTGGCATGAGACCCATATTTGTGCTTGACCGATAGCAGAGGCGGTCTCCTGGTGCACCGTCGTGTCAAAAGGTTGTGTGCGAGTAGCTGTGCACTGTGGAGCTCGTGTGCGTCGGACCATGCACAGGTGTGACATCCGTCCCATAGCCTTTCCCTTGGCCTGTTGCCCGAGAGGTATTGAGGGCTGTAAAGGAGCCATGGACGCCAGGGAGGTTCCTCATGGAGAGGGCCAGAAGGCAAGGCCCGGAGCGAGATGGGGTTTGGGGGCGTGGTCAGCAGGCGACATGGCCGGACACAGGGATTGGTCGGGAGGGATCCGTGACGCAGGCCAAAGACGAAAGGGAGGGTGGGCTGCATGGACGCCATCCATCGCGTGGGCACTGCATTGGAAAGTCGGTGTCGTTGTTGCTCGCGTCGAGACCGTGGCCGATGGGCGCTGTCGCGTTCAAGTCGAGGGTGCCAATGCCAGATTAGATTGCTGGCGTCCGGATGTGGTGGCGAGCACGGATGGACAATCCTCCTTGGGCCGCATCGTGAGACAGGGCGACAGGGCCGACTGATTGGCCTGACGAGCCTCTGTTTCCAGAAAAGTTGGGCTGGTGGTTGGCTGGCCTGGCTGGGTGCGTCGAGCTCGCAGGCTCGCAGCTGGGTCGTTGGCGTTGGCCCCGCCATGCCCCTCCCCGCCGGCCCCCAAGGTTGCATTGGGGGAGAAGTTCCCCTGTCTCTGGAACCCTCCACCGCGATGTGCCGAAGACTTTGGACTGGCCCCTCCTGCCCCTCCATCACCATCCTCGAGATGCTCACTTCTGTCCCAGGTTGCTCTGTTGGGCACGGATTTGGACCAGGAGCCGAGGGAGGCGGTGCTGTAGGTCTGGTAGCCCAAGGAAGCGTCTGACTCGCCGCGGCCGCTTCCGCACGACCATCATCGCACATTATTACGTGGTGAGGTGTTGGGCGGGCATCGCTGTCCTGCTGTCCTGCTGTCCTGCCGTCCTGCCGTCCAGGAGGGCAAATCTTGAGGTGGGACGACACCAGCAGTTGGCGACAGGGGCAATCTGTCTGGTGCGTTTGCTCTGCAGGCAAGCAGAGGGCGGGCAGGCGGGCAGACGGGACAAGCAAGAAGCCCAGACCATCTGTCTGTCCGTCCGTGTGTAGATGAATCGCACATTTGATCGGCTGAGCCTGCAGTGGCGGGATGCAATGCTGTTAGCTTTAAGTGGAGACATTGATGTCACACGTCAATTGCGAGACCCCCCCCCAAAGGGGCGCACAGAAGCAGAGGCACTGAGGCAGTGGCAGAGGAGCCGAGGGAGGGCCAACACTGGCCTGACTGGCCTGACTGGCCTGACTGGCCTGACCGACGGCGGGCCCAACACCAGAATCCGTTTCATCACTCACAACCGTCACAACCGTTGCTCGTCCTGTGTTGGTGGTTGCTCTGCTCCTGTCCCGTTTTGCTTTGTGGTACCGCACCAGTGGTATTTACATGTTGAAGTTGCTGCCCAAAGGACGCCTCTCCCACCCCTCGCCCTCCTCTTCTTTCCTCCATCTTGGCGTGGGATTGCTTTGCATATCATAACCAGCCTTCGCGTCTCCCACGGCTGCTCTTCTGTGCTCTGCTCTGCTCTGCTCTGCTTCAAAGACTCCCCAGAGAACCCCAACCCCACTGCAGATCGCCCTTGACCCAGTCAGATTGCCTCCCTCCTCCGCTTACCCCGGAGTCCCAACTGGCGGTCTTGTGCCTACTCGACCCATCCTTGACACGGATCGTCGGCGCCTATCAAACCCAATCTTCTGACGACCTCTCAGCCTCTCCTGCCCTCTTGCCTTCTTTCTGTCCCCACAGCACAATACGACACAACGCCACGCTCTGACCAGCCTCGGTTTCAACACAGGTCCGACAGTACTCTAACCTCTGCCGCTTTGCTCTTAGCGAGAGCCTGTCCTGAACAAAATCCACAAACCACTCCAGCACCAGCCGACGACTCGCCAAGCCGTCAGTCTCGGTGCCAGCCAGGCCTCGTTACCCCTCCCTTATCTACAATGTCCCCTTGATCTGCCATCCTCGTGTCCTTCACCCTCATCTCCCTCCACCTTTCAGCATGGTTGGAAGTACAGATGTCGAAACATTACTTTCCACCGGGGCTTGGACTACCCAGAGAGCTAAAACTCCCGGCTTGTAAGCGCCCCTCTCTTTTTTCCGTCGTTGGACCTTGTAGCCGGGACAATGGTAGCTAGCTATGGTTGCTAACAGGAATGGCTTCTCCCTAGTGCTAACCCAGTCCGCGCGAACCAGTCGTCCAAACTAGAGCCACTTGGCCCAAAAGGCTCCAAAGCATCCAGACCTTCCGCGTTCTTGTCCGGCTGTCATCGCTTCCCTCCACCTCCCAGTGTTGAAGATGAGGCTGTGTCGATCGCTAAGGAACAGGGCACTTTGGTCGCCGGCGTAAGCGACGAGGAGCCCAAGTGCAGGGGCGATGTCGAGCAGAATCCCATCATCCTGCCCGTTCCTGAGTTCAACCCGGAGCGCCGATATGTGCTCGTCACACCGTCTGAGACAGACGATGCTTGTCTCTCCGACACTCCGGCTCAAGAGAGACCGGTCTCAACCCCGCGGACAGAATATCCGGCCAATACCAAGATTCCGCTTGATCGGAAGGCAGATGATGCGGTGCGGCCAGACATCCAGAGGCGCAGGTCAAGGGTCGACTTGCCTCGGATAGAGACAGATGTCCCTCCTCCGCGTTCCAAAACTCCATCTCGCGTGCAACGGGCCAGGTCGGCAACCTGTGTTGACCAGAAACCCAGAGAGACTCAGGATTATTTCAGCCCACACCCGGAATCAGCACGTCCTGTCGCGGATGCTTTCTTGTCGCCCGTCATCAAGCACAGTACCAAGGGTCGTGACAGGGCGTACTGGAACTTTAATTCAGGATCCGAAGGCACAAGCCCAAGAGGCTCGGCGAGCAGCTTGAAACCCAGCTCCGCGGATCGAAAGGGTCTCGACGGGTATGCAAGATCGCCCCTCTCGAGCAGCCCTGCAGCGCAGAGACGTACGCATTCTGCAATGGATGTGCCGAGGGAGCCAAGGAGGGCGGCAGAGCGAGAGAGTTCCTACAAGACTGAGCTGCCTGTGCGGGCGAGGAGGAACGGCCCGCCGTCCCCAACTCTGGATCAGTGTCAATTGCCACCAAGATCGACTCGCAGAGACTTGTCTCCACCGACGTCTCGTGCGCCACAGCCAAAGCTGAGCCGGCGGAAATCCAGTTACAGCAACCGTCCTTCCGTGTCTCGGGCAGGCGACTACGGGTTTTCGAGTGATGAGGACCGAGACCACAGGAGATCTCGTACCCACCACGACCGCAGGAAGTCCACGTTCGGCCATGGCGATCGTCCAAATTTACTTAGCCCCGGACTATCCTCAGTCTCCAAGACGAAGTCGCGACCTCCGTCTCCCTTGCCATCTCCCAAGTCATCTCACGCACACCTGCCCCACTACGAATATCAGGAAGACCCCCGGAGTTCAACCGCAACGCTTAACACTGCCAGGTACAGGCACAGAAATGAGAACGAGAGGCCCGTGTCCCCGATGTCATCCGGCGACTCGTCTCCTCGAGACCATTCACGGTTGACGGTGGGGGGCTCTGGTAATCGACCCAGAGCTGCGTCACGGACCCCCAGCATCAGGTCCAATGCGAGCACCGGCAAGCCAGGAACCAATCCCGCGTCCGTGTCCGCTTCTATCTCGAACCCGGCGGCTACTGCGACGGAGGAACGGAAAAGGCAGACGATGCCGCCATCCCCGGCTTACTCCCGCCAGGGCTCCTTGGAGGCCATCCACGATGCGAAAGATCACTGGCAGCCAGAGCCCTTTGCCCCCGACCAAAGTCATATTTCGCCTCGACAGAGCGCCAATGGTGTTGAACAGCCACCGCCAGTGGTGTCATATCGCCGCTTCTCCGAGGACGTCAACGCAGGCGCCAAACCCGGGCTACCGGATTGCCCTATGAAAAGACCGACCATCGGATACACAAACTGGCTGACGCTGCCTAGATGTGACAACTTTACCATCTGCCTGTCATGCTACGAACAGGTCTTCTATCCTACCGAGTTTCGTGATATGTTCTACCAGGCACCATACCGCTTCAAAGAAAGAGAGCTCTCCTGTGATCTCGGGACTTCGCCCTGGTACCAAATTGCCTGGCTGATGACACGCAAATACCGACGAACCGATATACGACTGATACAGGGCGTATCAGGTGTGTTGTCCAAGGAGAGGATTCCTTGCTACGGAAGTGCGCGTGTCACGCGGATGTGGTACTCCATCACCGACCCAGACACGAGGCACTGTCTGCCCGGTTTCCGAGTGTGCAGCCCGTGCGCCAAGTCGGTCGAAATCCTGTTTCCGAGCCTGATGGGTGTTTTCGTCCCCAGGGACCGATACGCTGAGCCAAAGTCGGGGGAGTGCAGCTTGCACTTCACGGAAAACCGGAACCGCTTTCTCATATACTTTGACGTTTTCGAAAAGTGCCACGATGTCGCCATGGACACCAAATCGGCCCCGGACGTTCAGCGTCTTGCAGACAACATCAACTTCTGGGCGAAAGTGGACGAGTGCCCTCGCGACGAGCCCCTCCGGAACGCTAAGTGGAACACCATGTCCTCGATCCCGGAGATGACGGTCTGCCATGAGTGTTTTCTGGAAGTCGTCTTTCCAGAGCTGGTCGCCGATGTCAATTCTCATACGGTCACGGGTTCCGAGCGCCGGTCGGTTGCCCGAGACTTCTATCAAAACCCGTCTCTCATCAACGAGGCCACGGTGTGCCAGATGGCGAGTCCCAAGATGAGGGAGGTTTTCCGACGGGCTTGCAAGCTGGAAGATGGGATCGACTTCCTGGATGACCAGATTAGAAGGAGGATGGGTTACTAGGATCGGGTGGACAGAGTCCTCTTGCATGATGGGAGATCTGGGAGCTGAAAACGAAGATACGAAGCCATTTGGTTTCAAGAATATAGATGGCACGAGGCATGTTATGCAATGATTAACGATATGAGACAATATAATAACGATGTATGAATGAAAGACTGCTTGATATAGCGTACTTCTGGTTGAGCTATTGTCCAGGTGTTGGCATGGCGGCGATGAGCATTTCATGTTGTGAACCTGAAAATCCATACAATCAGGGGCACGCGCTCAGAAAAGCAGCACGATCTGCCGGAACGGGGCACGATGATCATGACTTCAATACATCCTGACACCACAGGACAGAACGGAACTTGCCTATCTGCGGAAATCTACAGTCTGTGTGGTTTAGAGCTGTCCTAATGACCTGGGAGCCTCCCAACTCCTCGGCGCATTCGCCCTACCAGCAACCATGCAGCAACGGCAGCACATGTAAATACATGCTACGCACACAGTGGTGACTTCCGCAGTGCAGTGCTGTCGTGGGGCCAAGATATCATAGCTGACAGGCAGTGAGCGCCCAACTTCCAGATGGGGCTCTGCACAAGTGTCTTTGTCTTGTCTGCTTCCTTCCTTCCTCGCTTCCTTTTGGTTTATATCTGACGATCGCCTGCATCCTCACCACAACATGTATGCAGCTGGTGCGCCATGCCCCCACGAGCAGGTCCGCTTACTTTGCCGCTGCGGTAGCAGAAGTGACTAGCTCCTACTGCTTGGCTCAGTGCCCACAACACAGGCAGACAGGCTGGCACCGGGCTGCGCTTGGAAAAGAGACCTGGCTGTGTCCCTGGCCGTTCTTCTCAAGCAAGCTCCCTCCGCATGTACATGGCAACCACCAGCGCGACGGCCACCTCGCCAGGCCCAATAGGGGCGCCTGCAGCGTTGCAACGGGGAGGTTTGTTGCGACATGCGTGCTGCAGGTGCGGGTAGGAATCCTTCAAGTTCTGCACACGGCCCCTCTTGTCGCTCCCTTGGGATGTACTGGCCCGTTGTGGTGATTGGCTCGATGGCCCCTGGATGTCATAGACAGCCTTCTGAACGCGAATAAGCCGTGCGAATCGTCTACCACCGGCACTCGGTGGGCTCGTCAATCGTAAGCTGACAGCCACTTTGATTTTGCATGGTGTCTTGCTCACTGTGCAGCATTGTGCGAAACCCGAAGCGCCTGCAAGCGATGTGTGGCGCACCCCTGGGAATCGCTGCGCCGAGATCGAACATACTGAGGTACTGATGATCAGATGATGAGTCTTCTGATATAAAGACATGCCAGTCCACAAGTCCTGCAAAATAGTGCAAAAGGGCATGCCCGCCTTATTGTTTCTTCCTCCCCACTCATGCTATTCTTGACCCTCGATACTTATATTGCCAAGTTACCGTTCATAAAAGGTCTCCAACGGTTATAGGAACCGAGCGATGGTTTTGCAGTGTACCAATGGCATCTGGCACAGAGAACTCTTGGTCCTTGGACCTCAGCACGTCTATTGCAATCATATTTGGTATCTTTGGGTTAGCCGTTTCACTGTTCAACCTGTACTTTGCTTGGGAGCAACTTGACCATGTGCGAGTGTAAGTACAAAGTGGAGACAAGCTTCTGTTCGGCCCTTACGAGTTGTTGCTGACATTCCCCAAGGATCCGCCGCCGAGGCAGAGGGATACGAGGCACGTTGGGGACAGGTCTTCTTGGATATCAACCCTATTCGCGAGAAACTTCTCTGCTTTCAAACAAATCACGGGTGCTGTGAGGTTTTTCCATGACTCTATGCTGTGATTTTTGACGTTCGGGTATGGTAGGAAGGACTTCGGTGGGCCTTGGGTCGAGAATGGATGATGGAAGAATTGATGATCCGCACGGCGTGATTCTACAGACAGAATAGCGGGTGTAGTAAGTGAGCATACCTGTCTTGAACTTTGTCAGGTACTTTTCCTAGCATCAGAGGAGCGACTTATATGAATGTCCACATACTTTATATGAATGATCTGTACCAGTAATAAGTACTCAGATGTTAGTTGTCTAATAGAGGAGAATTTACACACCCACATTCTACAGTCTGATTAGCCCCCATATGACGACTGACTTGTCAGTTTCGACATATGCTCTCACGCGAAATTCTAAGTGTTGTACCTAGATACAGTCGGAATAATCAACACTAGCTAAGAACATATTTACTCTCTACTATTATTCCTCAAAGGGTGCTTTCCTCACCTTTGAGTATCTACTCGTCATTAGGACTAAGTATTAACCTGTATGTTGTCCCGGGCATACCTACCTAGGTAGCCAAATAGCTATGTGAATATTTCAAGAATGAAACCTTGGGCTATAATGATTTATCTGTGCATGAAGCTAGATATGCGTAGTTTAAATTATAACACCGTGATTCTTAATGAACAAATTTCCTCCAGGTGTGACAGATCTATTTTATATGAAGACAAATTGATAAAAAATCATATAACAAGAATAACCCAGCTTTTTCTCTTTGAAGGTGCAGAGAGTTTTGTGAATTGAATTAAAAAAATAACCGTAGACCAAGTTGCCTGTTGGAAAGCGATGCGGTGCCATATGCAGAGATGGCGTGTAGAATCCGGGGGTCCATAAAGACTCTATATCGCGGCGTGGAGAGATGCCGCTGTTGCTAGGCACCAGGGGTATACATGCAGCAGAGGGTCTTGCAATTATGACGCCCGGCAGAAGCCCCATCATTTCAGAAATGTACGACAACAGTGCAGGACCAACCAATGCTAGGAAGTCCCAAGGCATCAAGTGTTACCCGCACCAGATGTTACTCGCAGGGGAAACGCTCCGCAACACCCTAACACAGGCCACTGGGGCGGTCTCCCATAGAGCAAGACACCTGTCCCAATATGTAACTACATGTGTAACCAGAATACACAATATTTGATCAAAAGGTATTACTTATAGACAGATTGTTGATTGAAACGGTCGATGGAGGGGGAAGCACCCAACTTGAAAGTACAGAGCATAACTTGACTCTGCTGAGGTATCAGTACTCAAATTACCAGCAAGGATCTGCCATTGATGTCTGTCTGCCTTTACATTTGTCTGCTTCTGAGTTTCGTGTTATACCGTGGCTGTCAATGGCAGAAACTTGCTAGATTGGAATAAATCGATCAATGGCGCTGACCTATGGGCCGAACCACGTGCTGTTCCCATTGTCCCGTGGCCGCCTGACTGCCTACCTAGATACCTAGGTACCTAAGTACTTGAGTACACAGGTAGGTACTCCAGGCAGCCCAATCTTTTTGCCCTGCTCACATTGGCAAGGCTTACAGGGATAAACTGCCTTTTTGGGACAGAGGTTGACCATGATTGGTGGCCTGGCCCCGCTAATTGGAGGCCCCCTATACCCTCCAGCCGCAAGGGATGTTGGTTCGTGCGGCCCACGCTGTACTTGCTGTATTACTTTGGCCTTCTGCATTGATGTGTCATCTCGGATATCGAGCAAGAGACCTTGAGGTATCTGGTTACTATTGAGGCGGTGGTCAAGTCAGATGTGTCGGTACCCAGGTGCAATGGTCCGCATTGGTGGGTGAGGAGCGACTACCGGTACTGAACATGAGATGAGAAAAGATGATTGCTGGACCAGCGACACCTAAGGAGGAGAGAGATGCAGGAAGCTTGGCCGGATTATCCGCAGCGTGGCTATGTGACGCTGCACGCCGGCCAGAACAAGCAAGCTCGTTGGACAGCATGCCGTTCGACAAACCCCGCCACATGTACACATACTTAAGTATGCATGCAGGCTAACTAACTCACTTTGCCCGCCCACTGGCGTCACCGGTCCCGCCCTGCTCAGGCACATTACACAGCATATGCCCCTCCCGAGTTACCACACACTACTAGGATGGTCATCCGGGAGCGTTGCCGGACAGCAGCCATACCCCTAGGTTTGCTTGAGAATCTAGCTCAATAAACCTCGAGCATCCTGTGGGCAACGACTCGAGTTCGAACGAACATGAGTACAAACCTTTGAAGAGTATGATGGGGACTTGATAGTAATGTGGCGCTCGCTCGCTGCTCTGCGTTGATTGAGCAGCCCCGTTGAGCTTGAAGTGGAAGCAAGAGGGCCTGTAAGAGTAGGTACTTCTTCAAGCAGGTTACCGAATGCCCATGTACCCCGGGGGGCTTACACAGAGACTCTACAGTGCTGCATGCCCAGGTGCCAGGCACCTAGGTGACTAAGTAGGAAGGCCTGCTGGTAATTTGTACCAATCACATACCGATCTAGGCTAGGCGGACAGGCAGGACTATGTGACAAGCAGGACGGGCAGCCCTTTCAAGACCCTGAAGGTTCTGCAGAGCCGCATTGGCGGACCATGCGAACCACAGCCGACAGTAATCAAGGCAACTACCCAAAGTATACAAGTATACTGTACTTCAGTAAGGGGAGGGGGGCTATCCCCTGAAGCGAATGGTTGCCTTGCTTGCTGTCGGTTGTGGTTCGCATGGTCCGCAAGTATAGGATACATGGGGTCCTGTATCATACCTAGGTATAAATCAGGACCTCTCTGCTTCATAAACTTTGATACACATTCTGATGAGTTCACCATTGAGCCATGGCGCATATAAATTAATTCAACTCAACTTCAGAGCCTCCTTTGTGTAATCCAGGCCGAGCACACTGTCTTGGTCAAACTGTGCATCATATAGCCTTGGGCGTGACGTGACGTAACGTCCCACGCCATATATCCCAGTCCTTCCATTCGCCCTCCCGGTTACCAGAACGCCGACGCTCGGGAGTCAAGAGACGATAGACCGCAGACCATCGCGCGCAAGGCTACATCGCTGCTCAACCACTAAAGACACCAGGACATGGCAACAGCGGCCGCATACAGCAAAGCAATGTCTTCGGGCGTTTCCGACGGGCAAAATATCTCCGTCCAAGCTCCCGACAACTCCTGGGCCCTGGATCTGAACACCCTGGTTACCATTGTGTTTGGGGTGATTAGCATTGCTTTCCAAGCCGGCCACATGTACTATGCGCGAGCGAAACAGTAAGCATATCCACGAATGCCATTGTGGTGAAGCTGACGAGAGCCAATAGAAGAAGAATAGATGGACCCGTCCTAGACGATATCGAGAATGACGGGGGGAGGCCTCTTGCACGCAGGGAGGAAGCGCAGTTCACACTATGGCACCCTCAGCACAACTGGAATGAGCTTGACGAGTACCGGGCCACAGACACACCGCGAGCACAACCCGGTCCCACGATGTCCACCCGCGGTGGAGCTCCACGAAAGGTCCTCCGACGGGATGAAGATGGACAAGCAGGCGGGACAGGGCATATGCCTCCGGGTTACGTATACCGCCGATCTCCGTGGCAGAACAATGACTGGGGACGAGACCCAAGCCCGAGGCTCATTCCGACCGGGGCTGCCCTCGAAAGGCATTATGCCCCTCGTCAACAACCGGGTCTAGTCTGAAGCTTCTTTCTTCAGCTGTTGTTGGTGCAGGGTGCGAATTCTGACAGGCATCTGGCGGCGTTCGGAGGGACTGGAACAGCGTAGGAAGACCTCCTCCATCGGACACACAGAGCGAGCCTTCCTTCTCTTGCCTGGTTGTTGGCCTAGCGTTGTGGCATTATTATGGAATTTAAACAGGTTCTCGTTGCCCCGGCATGGTAATGTGCGATGTAGATGCAAAACTGTCTGGTTGAGAGACTATCCCCGACCGGAGCCGGTGCATGCACCGCAAAAGCCCAGCGGCACACTACTGTGTCAAGAACTCCTCGATGTCCTTATCCTCATCGTCCTCCTGCAGCTCCTGCAGCCTCTTCTCCTCGGCGTCCAAGAGCTTCTTGACCATTGTCCTCTGCCTGCGGCGGGCCTTCTTGCCCCAGTCGGTGGCGGAGGCCGACTGCTGGGCCTCGCCCTCGGCATCGCTGTCGTCGCTGTCCTCGGGGATCTGGATCTTGTGGCCGCGCAGCTCGTTGGGCGACATCTTGGCCTTTGCCTCTGCCTCCGCTTCCGCCTCGGCGGCCTCTTTCTCGTGCTGGTTCATCTGGGCCTTGCCGCCGAGCTTGAGCAGGTACGGCCGGACGAGCATGTAGGTGCCGACGATGATGACGATCCTGATCCACTTCTCGGGGGACATGCCCTCAAGGGTGCCGCGCAGGTTGCGCGTGAAGCGCTCGTATGCGATATATAGCAGGTTGAGTACGCCGTCCATGCTGGGCAATTGGTGCTGGGTGACGACAGGTGGTTGGTAGTCGGTGGTCGTCGTAGGACAGCGGTGGGAAGCTTTTGCAGTGGAAGGATATCGTTGGGTATTTCGACCAGAAGTTATGTGCAATCTGCCAGCAGGTCGCCAGTGCCAGACGACAGCGTGTCAAGATCTAGATCGGGGAGTGGGAGGTTTGGGAGTTGTTGGTAGGTGCGCGAATTTCGAGAGCTCTTTTTTTTTTTTTTTTCTCTCTCTCGAAGACATGTAGTCGTCACGCCCCGAGCTTGGACGAAGCCAGGACGCACTGACCTGAGGCAGTTTACGACCTCCACAGCAACCTCACACTAGTCGCTATCTCAGAAAAACAAGAGTTACCCCCCCCCTAGTTAAATACCCCCTATTCCTCAATTAAACTAAAACTTTACTAATAAGGCAAAAAACCCTATATTTTCAATAAAATACTATATTTAATACTACCTATACCTTAAAAAAGAAAAAAAAAAGGCTAATAATAATAAGCTATCACCTATTAAACTATAAACTCTAACAATTAGAATTTTATTTACACTCTAATCTATCTCTATTAAATAAGTAACTACAAACTAAGTTCAAAATTAGTTATACTATAATTAAAAAATACTATTAAAAGGTTATTACTACCTATATAATTATTTTAAGTATATTATTATTATTACTATTAAATATAATTAAACTAAAATAATAAACTATAAAGGTTTATTAACTTACTTTCTTATAATAATACTATAAAGTATAATTAATATATAGATTATATAAACTAAAAGTTAAAAATCTTCTATTTAATAAGTTAAACCTATATTTTAATAAAATATAATACTTTTTATTAAATAGTTATAAATTAATATTATTATAAAAATAATAAGTAATACTTTTAAAGCTTATATATAAAGTAATAAATAAATATATATACTAACCTATTAATATAATAAAGAGCTCTATAACTACTACCTTTAATAGGTATACTAATTAAACTATATAATAAAAATATTTATTTTTATTAATAAATCTAATTTTAATAAATAAAATAATATAAAAAGGATAAACTAAGTACCTATTAAATATACTTTATAAATTAAAAGTCTTTTAAATAAAAGCTTACCTTTATATCCTCCTATAATTACATTAAATAGTTTATTTATTATTATAATATATAAAAATTATATAATAAAAAGTTTTCCTTTAATAATTAAAAAGTATTTTATTAAAAATAAACCTATACTTAAACTTAAAGTTAATCTTTATAATAAATAATACTTTTAATATTATAAAATAAAAATAATTAAAATAATAAATATAAAAGTATAAAATATAAATATTTACCTTTATACTCCTCTAATTTTAATTCTATTAAAATATATTTTAATAACTTAAAGTATTATTTATATTATTAATATTAATATAAATTATTAAATTATAATTTAAATAAAAATTTTATTTAATTTTATTCTTTTATATTTAAAAATTAAATTTAAAATTAAAGTTATTTAAGAATATTTCTACTATATATAAATATTAAAAAATATAAAATAAAATAAATATAATAGTTTTAATTAAAAATTATAAAAACTAAAATTAATAAAATTCTAATTAAATAAAGTTATATAAATAAAAATATTATTTATAAATTAAATAATTAAATTAATAATTAAAAATTAAAATAAATAAATTAATTATAAATAAATTTATTTAATTAATTAAATACCTAATATTAAATATTTAATTTACTTTATTTACTTAAAATAAATAACTTTTCTCTCTTTAATTACTTTTATTATTAACTATATCTTTTATATACCTAATTATTACTTTCTTATTTAAAAGTTTTTAAAATTTATTATATAACTTTTTACTTTATTAAATAAAAGGACTATTTTAATAAACTTTTAACCCTTTTATTAAATAATTAATTTAATTATAAAATCTAATATTAAATAAAGTTAATTAATTAATTAAATAACCCTTATAAGCTTTATAAAATATATATTTTAATATTTATTTAATAATCTATTAAATAGCTATTTAATAACCTTTATTATAATAATAAATCCTTTTATTATTATTACTATTAAAAACTAATAAAATTCTTCTTTCCTTTAAGTATAGCTTAATTAATATTTTAATTAATAAAATAACCTTTAAATTATATTTATTAAATTAAATATTCTCCTTTTATAAAGTCTATAAAAGTTAAACCCTTTATACCTTATAACTCTTATAAATTATTTAAATTAAACCCTCTTTAATAAATTCTTAAAATATTTTTAAAGTATTTTTATAATAAACTTTTAATATAAAACTATTTTATTTCTTTTACTTATAATAATAATAATAAAAAATAACTAGTAGCCTTTATTTTTATTATAGGCTTTTAAATATTATTATTATTACTACTAATAATAATAGAGCCTTATTAAACTTATAAGAAAAGCTAATAGTAATAATAGTAATAGTGACCCTATTAAGGCTATTTAATTATATTTAACTTTAAATAAATTAATATTAAATAATAGGTTAATAATTATATTAATACTACTTTTTTATTTTTACTTTTATTACTTTTTTAGAAAAATAAGGTTAACCTTATTATTATTAAACTTTTTTATTAGATTTTATTTAAACTATTTAATAATTAAAAGGACTTTTAATAAGTACTTAATTATAATATTATTTATTATAATTATATTAAATTAGTTTTTAAGTTTTTATTAAATAAACTAATATATATATTATTTTATTTAATAAAATACTATTACTATAAAAAATTTCCTTTATTTTAATAATAATAATTAACCTTATAATAATTACTTAAAAATATAACTATATTTTTATTAATTATTTATACTTTTTTATATAAGATTTATTTTTATTTTTATTTTAACTCTTTATTTAGTAGTTATTAATATAAATTAAAAGTTTTAAAATTTAAGTTTTTATTAAATATATTTATATTTACTATTTATTTAACTATTAGTAAGCTATTCTTTAAGGTAGCTACCTACTAAATAACTAATAATAACTAAAAACCTTAATTAATAGTTACTTAACTAAATAATTACCTTATAATATAAGTATTTATAACTTTTATATTAATAATATAACCTTATAATTATATAAAAACTAAAAAAGAATCTTTAAAATTTAAAAATATATTTATAATATTATTATAATTAAATATTTTAATCCTCTTATTAATATTTTTTATAATTTTTAACTATAAAATTAAAAACTTTTAACTTATAAACTAACTAACTTTAATAAAAATATTCTTTAACTTAATAATTATATTTAAATAATTCTTATATTTTCTCTTAATTAAATCCTAAATAAATTAATATAATCTAATAAAAACCTAAATTCCTTAATCTTTATCTTTCTTCCTTAATATAATAATTTATTTTTAAATTATATAATAAAAATAATATTAACTTTTAAATTATAAATTTTAATAAATAAAATTAAAACTAATTTATTTAAATATATTTATATTAAAAATTAATTAAATAACTTTTAAAATATTTAACATTATTACTATTATTATTTACTAAAACCCTACCTTATTAATAAAAGGGTCCTTATTATTAATACCTTTTAAAACCTCCTTTTCTTATTACTAAATATATCCTTTTATTATTAACTTTAATAATATTCTTTTATACCCTTTAAACTACTTAATTTATTATAATAACCTTATTTTAAATAATTTTTAAAAATACTTATAAATACTTTTAAACAATTTATTAAATCTTAATTACCTTAATAATTAACTTTTAAATATATAACTATTTAAATAATATAATATTCTTATTAATAAACTATATAATTTAACTTTTAAATAAATCTTATATAATAAATATTAAATAATTTAAATTTAATAAATTAATTTAATAATATTATTTATAAAGTTAATTAAATTAATATTATTTTATATTAAAATAAATAGGTTATATATACCTTTATAAGCTAAATTTAAATTAATTATATAAAACTAATATAATATTATTTTTACTTAATTAAGTAATAAAAATAACTTATTACTAATATTAATAAGATTAATAGGGGTATCCTAATAAGAATATTAAAGTTTCTATTCTACCAGTAAAGTTTTAGTTTAATTAAGGAATAGGGGGTATTTAACTAGGGGGGGGGCAACTCTCGTTTTTCCAAGATAGCAGCACTGGCTGACAGGCACACTAGCCACAAGAGCCAGACTTGGACCTACGCCCCACTCTTGCCTCGAGCTAGAACCGCCGCCAATGATTTACACGGGATCACTAACAGCCTTTTGAGTCGTCCAGGGGTAAGACTTGGCTCTTGACCAAGCATCGCTCAACGCGACGGCCCATTTCGGTCTCTGGGAGTAACATTGCGCGACAAAGATTCGAGACAGACCAGCCTCTACCGCCTTGAATCACTCAGTGGCCTTTCAACTCACTCGTGCCTATTTGACGATGGCAGACCAATCTGAAGAAGACGTGCGTGAGGTCAGTATAACGTGGCCGTTTTTGCAATCACGCGCCTCAGGCGCGTCGTGCACTTACTCGGTCACATGCTTATTCCCATCAACAGCGTCTCAAAGCAGCACTCTGGTTCGCAGTTGGCAAAATGGTAGATGAGCAGTCTTTGCGGCGCAATAGGAATGCCACCCCGCAGTTTATCGGTGCTCTCACAGAGATGGTCTGGACCCAGATTGGTGGGCATTTCCCAAACTGCCAACTCTAGAATCCCATGCTTGTGATTACCAGTTCTGACAAGATGAACCAGAAAATGTCGCAATAGATCTGGAGAGCTTCAGTCGCCATGCAGGACGAACATCCATCACTACCGATGATGTTTTGCTCCTTGCCCGGCGCAACGCAGACCTGAACGGCATCATCAAGGATTTTGTGGACGAGCAGAAGGCAGCTAAGATCAGCAAGGGAAAGGGAAGGGCAAAGTAGCCGGGCCTAAGCAGTGGCTCCAATTGCTTTATCGATGACCATCACCCGACAATGACGGCGGATCCGATGGAGCTGTGCTCGAGCCTTTGCGCCTACCACGTCCCTGTCAAAACGCCTGCAGTTGCTTGGACCAAGATGGATCATCCTGTCTTGGTGCGAATCAGGCTCTGAAATCCACAGCACAAGCGGTGAATTGCGTCTCGTTCATGTCAAATCTCCAAAACATGGGACATCCAGTCAGGATCGGCGACGACCCGCGAGTCGCGGACCAGCAGGGCAGAGCAGCGGGTTGGTCGGAATATATTCGCAGGGTGGTCGATTCCCCCGACGGAATGCAATGCTGGGACAACTGTCCGACGGGGTTCGGCTGGTCCCAGTATCCACTTGTGCCTCATACGTACTCGGCGCCAACAGCATCCCTTGAAAGCAAACCCAGCCAGCCGAGCTTGGGCCAAAGCAACGTTTATTGAGGCCAAGATCATCCTGGATACTTTGGAGTAGACAGCCTGGAGCAGATGTGTGTGTCTTCTTATTCTCTTAAAAAAAAAGAAAAAGACCCTTGGCTGTGGCCATAACAAAAGACAAGTAGTGGCTGTGGGGTCGGCAAATGGGAGCGCATGCGAGTTCGGCACGCAGGGTCTCGCTCCGTCCGAACCTTTCAATTCCTCGAGCTCTGACAGGCTATTATTTCCATCCGCATGTCGATCAATTTCAGATACGCGTGTCCAAAGTCTGCCATGCCAGCCTCGCCCCAATACGCTTTGTACTAGAGGATGAACGATTATCCGCACATGAGACCACCCTCGGAGTCAAGACCCGTGTGCATTAATAGCGGCTTTTATTCCTCAGTCATGGATCCTCGACTGGCTACACAGTATGTCTGTCAAACCTTGCTCTCAGCCTTCGTTGTCCAAGCAAGCCACTTTGCCAGTCTCAAGCCAGGTTTGTTGGCTTGCGCAAAAGGAAAACAATCTGGCTCGACAGGAGGGCGCATGCCGTCGCCGTGTTCGTTTACTTTGCAAATTTATGTGCGCGAGACCCCTCGATCGTCTGTGATTACACTTCCCGTTGGAAACCTAATAATGAACCTAAGGCCCTGTGCGCGGAACCGCAGTTCAGAAGGCCGAACTGTAGTGTAAACCCGGGAGCCGTTCCGGAGCCGCCACGGCTACAGCCGTGGACGGACGGCAGCTGTCATGTGCTCGTATCCGGATTCGAATTAGGCAATAATCCAGAGACGGTCGCCTCGCCAATGCGCGGGGGAGGGCTTCCTGGCAGCCTGGGTGCTACTGCGTACTCCTGGCACGGGTTGACGGGCGTGGTCAGCATTGTTGTCATTATAGTTGTCATTATAGTAAGCTCCTGTCAGCCACGCCTGTCAGCGGCCCGGGCAGTTCATGCAGTGCGTGTCTTCCCCTGGGCACTTGGGAAGGCACATCAGCAGGAACTGAGCAGCAGACGAGCCATGTGACAACAGCGCTAGGACTATGGCGAACCGGACCTCGGTGGGCCCTGATGTGCTTGATGAACAGCCCGCCCGAGCTGCCGAGTCGCGAGCATGGCACCAGGGTGAAAAGAGCAAGGGGCCCTGTGCTACCAGAGGTTCCAGAAGGCGGAATTGGTCTTATCCGCCGGGGCCGTGACGGCGTTGGGCTAGCCTAGCGTAACCAGTAACGAGGTGTTGCATGCAAGTGCAGTTCCTGATGCGATCACCCTGTGGCCCCTCCTACTTGTGCCACCCCGGGGTTACCATTATACTCCGTACACTACCACTACATGCCCTTGGATCCTCCGCTGTCATCCCTGACGACTGCACATCCGGCTCTGAAAAACATTGTTGTTACTGCCATGAAACTATTCCTCCTCCTACCCGCTTCTCGTCGAGGAAGATAGGACGGCATGCTCCGAGGCAGTTCCTCGGGATTTGTCCACCCACTCACTCTACTGTTTCCGAGCAGCGAGCGGAATACAGTGTAACCAACAGTCGCCTTGAGACCGGCCGTCGGAGGTGGTCCCCCCCCCACTCCCAAGCCCAAGCTCATCCCTCCCTCGCTGCCTTGATGAGCCAGATGCCGACTCCGCCCCCGATCTCAGACTCGTCCAGCGGCCTGAGGTTCAGAGCCGTCAACGACCCGACACACGAGCGACGCCCAGAAAACCCGGGGCCCGACCCGGCGGCGGCGTTGGGAGGCGTTACGATGAGAGGAGGCCAGGCTCACGGCGGCCCCGGACACAGGGCCGATGGCCCTGGTCCCGAGCTCACGCGCCGCGCCGTAGGGCCTCGGCTCTACCACAAGAAGTCGAGGATGGGCTGTCTCAGATGCAAGGCCCGCCGAGTAAAGGTCAGTTATAAAGTATTCTACTAGTATATCGGTGGAGTTGGGGTACGTCACTAGACAAGAAGGGGGTAATTATACGCGTATATACACGTATTGTCCTTCGTCTGAAGATCGGGTTGGCTGCTTCTTCTTCTTCTTCGCAGTCCCTTCCCATACGATCACAGCCCTACAGCACAGACTTGGATCGCCTGGGCCATCTCGAGCTTGTTCGTCCCTTATAGATTACTGATCAGCCCGCATAGTGCGATGAAGCACGCCCCGTATGTAGCGGCTGTAGCCGTCACCTGGTGGAGTGTGTGTACCCGTCGCGCGGAGCTCCCTCCCAGGGCGGCGCTCGCCAGGACGCCGGCGCCGGTATCAGTCTTCGCGTGACCCGAGCCGAGTCGTCCTCCGGACATAGTGACCCCGGAGTCTCGCCGATCCCATCGTCATCAGCCTCCGCATATCCCGCTTCCGAATCCTGGGCCGGTCGCACCCCAGGCCCGGAGGCGCACCCCAGGCCCGTCCCCGTCGAGCCCGGGGGCTTCTCGCCCATGACCCCCGGCTATACGCCGTACCCGGGCTGCCGAGGTCTCTCGCCATCCCATATCGCCGCCGCCGCCACTGCCCTGCCCCCGATGTCGAGCCGGGCCCCGTCTGTCGTCAGCAACAGTTCGTCATCGCAAACCGGCAGCGTCGTCCGGGAGGCCAACGACTACCTGTCGCACCTGACCAACCCAGAAATCCTCGACATCCCCGAGTCCAAGGAGAGGCGCATCTGGGAGCTGCGGCTGTTGCACAACTACATGATCAACTCGGCACAGGCGGCCGCCGGCAGCAGGGCAGAGCGGCCCCACGGCCCGCACCCACGGCCGTCGGAGGGAGTAACGCCCCAGGACAGCAGCAGCGAGGCGGCGGCGGCGGCGGCGGCGGCGGACGAGGCTGGGCTCGGGGACGCTGGCGCGGCGTTCGGGCAGGGGTCGTTCCTGTGGGGGCTCGAGATCCCCCTGCTGGCGTTCGAGGACGACGCGATACTGTATGCGATGCTGGCGTCGAGCGCGCTCAACATGTGGACCAAGAGTGGCGACGCGCGCGAGCGGGACGAGCTGCGAATGTGCCAGCAGAAGTACCTGTCGATGGCCCTGCGAGAGCAGCGCCAGGCCGTGGGGAGCCTCAGCCGCGACAACGCCGACACCGTGTGCATGTCCTCGCTGATCATCCTGCAGAACTCGTTCGCGCTCGTGCAGACGCTGCCCGTGAGGCCGTGGCAGCCGCCGCTCGAGTGGCTGCGCATGGGGAAGGGCGCCGGCTCCGTGCTGACGGTGGCGAGGGGCTACCTCGGGCCCCTTGGCGGCGGTGGTGAAGGAGGAGGAGGGGACAAGACGACGCGGTTCCTCAGCAGCATGCCCCGCATGGACCCGGACGAGATGTTCACGGCGGCGAACCGCGCGCACCTGACGTGGCTGCTGGACAACGACGGCGGGGCATCCGACGGCGTGGGCGGGGACCACGAGCTGCAGGACAAGGTGACGCTGGGCGTCTACAACCGCGTGCTCAGCTACATCGGCACCGTCCAGAAGGCCATCGCCGACCGCGAGCCGCTGTACGCCGTCTGCCGGCGCTTCATCGGCTTCGCCGTGTGGATGCCCGAGGTGTACCATGACTTCCTGACCCAGCGCCGGCCGCGGGCCCTCGTCACGCTGGCGCACTTCTTCAAGCTGTGGATCCCTTACGAGGACCTGTGGCTGATCGGCAAGACCGGCGAGAACCAGGTCCGCGGCATACAAGAGGCCCTGCCCATCCGGTGGAGGCACAAGGTCGACGGCATCTTTGAGGAGTATCGCATAGTCTGAGTCGTGTGTGGGAGATAAGGGGCGCGGAAGAGTTGGGACGGCTTCACAGCCTCGTCCGGTCACGCATGAGGAATAACACGTCTGCAGCCGAACAAGACAGCCGCCCACGGGTGGCGATGTTATTGATTTGCTAATAATACAGGACAGCCCTAGGCATATATCCCAGCTGGGACCTACCCAAGTATCCTAGGTACGCTCGAGAAGCCATCGGCTACGCCGGTTGGGATACACAAAAGGACAGCGATGAAGGACCGACGAGGAGACGACAGCAACGCGGCGTCAACCGGCTGTCGCTAGACTCTCACCAATACAGAAGACACCATATGATGGTAGTCACTAAACGCACGGCAACCCAGTCATGGATGAATACTGGGCTATTACTTTGCCAGCCACATTTTAGGCCGAGCGCACTTGACGGCCAACAGAAAGTGTAGCAACTCTTATTGCTGGGGGGAGGAACAGTGTATTGAAGAGTATGGTGAGTGTGTGAAACCGTGCGAGGGTGGGCCCGCCTGCGGAACAAGGTTTCAATTCGAGGCACCTCACGAATGTGATTTGAGACAAGGCGTTTGGGGGTCATTATACCCGGAGTCTACCAGCATGAGGGCCACGGCGGCCCAAGTCAGCACATGTCAAAACAAAGAGGTGTATGTATGAAGGCACGCAGTGTACGGGACAAGAGAGAGAGAAAGAGATAGTCAGACTCAGTAATGTTTGGCATCAACAGACCGTGTCACGGGTCATCAGTTAAGCCATGCAAAATTGGTTGAATCATCATGTGGTGGGCACAGACAGGAATGAAAGCTTGTGTCGCAGCACTTGACAACTAACCTTTTGTTTGCGCGGACCGCACCAGCCATAATCAGGAAATTATACATGAGAGCGGCTACCAGTCTGGCATGCACATACTCTCAGGTTTGACGTGGGCTGAGACGAGACGGTGTGCTGAGGCAACTGAACATTGAACAATCCCCAAGCGTCGGCGTCAGTAGCTGATGAGTGTCCGAACAGACAGAAAGCAGAGGCAAGCAACCTTGGAAGTCATGAGAGAGAGAGAGAGAGATCCCACCCAGACGCGGTACGTGCTGGGCGTACGTGTTGGAAGGAATGGGTGATTTCCCCGCACGCATGTCTTTCAGCCGTGTGCTAATGGTCTGACCTGTCACCTAACGCCCCGGCCGGGGACTCGCGGCTGTTAGCACGAGCATTGGACAAGACCGTTTTCCATGAATGAGAGGATGCCAATGCGCGATGTTACTGTCTGTCTCAGAATTTGAGATTAGGTCCAGGGTGGGAATGAGAAGCTGCCGTTGAGCCTTGAACACCAACTAGTACAGCCGCACGTTTTTCATAAAAACAAGTCTAGTGTCTCGTGTAATGTGTTGAGAATTTCGCAAGTACTATAGGGGTATGAACTTTTGCGATTTCCGCTGGTATCACCACCGATTATCTTCTCGGCCGACTTCGTCGTGGAATGCAATCAGAACACCAATGTTCATGCTCGGCCGGAAGATCCGATATGCTCATACCGATCCCTGATGCCCCTTCCATGGTAAATATGTATCGTCCTCTCGATGCTCATAAATAGAATAGCAAGGCATTGCCGAGCGCACTAATTCCCGCCGTAGACATTCCTAAAATCAACCCGTCATGGCTCTGCCAACTCTTTAGTCGCACAGAAGCCACCTAAACTCCGCCGCTGTGCAAGGTCACGACCGAATCGCTTCCCGTCCAATCAATCTGCTTCACGTGTCCTCCCATGTCAGATATGGCACCGCCCGGTCGTTCCTGACATCAAAACAAGTCTGTAAATATGAGTAGTGTCTCCGGGATTTGAGGACCGGGACCGGCTATCGCTTTGTAGTTCCTGGCGACGGTGACAGGTCTTATGTGAACGTCAGCCCGCTGTTGCACCAGTTGCTTACAGGCTGTGAGGTGAGTTAGCGACCAAGGCCTGGAGATTGGGATGGACCATGATAGACTCACCAGGCAACTCAGATACTTGCACCAACTGCAGGTCTTGTGGTGGACATAAAAGTTTTGCAGCAGCACAATGAACACGACAAATACCAACAGCAACGCACCGGCACGGACCAGCCACCAGGCCCACCAGAAAGGCTTTCGACCCTTGAAAAAGCCAACCGGGTTCTTGAGGAACCCTGGTGGTTTGTCTCCCGCGTAGCCTGAGTTGACGGTCGAGTATGGCGATTCGTCGCCTATTCTGCGCCGCAGCGCGTTTGGAGAGTGCAGCACAGACAGGCCAAGCGCCAAGCCCATCAACAAGCCACCGATGTGGGAGAAGTTGTCGACACCAGGCAAGAGGCCGAGGACGAACGAGATAATGATATCCAGCATAATGAACATGAGATCTCGGACAGGCGACAGACGGTCCGACCACGAGTAGAAGAGGTCGAGCAGTGTCAGAGCGATGATGCCGAAAAGTGAGCCGGAGGCGCCGGTAGAAGCCAAACCAGCGCCCGCATAGTTACCACCCAGAACGAAGCCAAATATCCCAGAGCACACGTAGACCAAGAAGAATCGGAGTGACCCGATAGACCTCTCCATCTCCTTGCCCATGGTAAGTTGGAGCAGCAGGTTGAAGCCAATATGGATAAGCCCAGCGTGCATGAACATGGGTAGGATAAAGCGCCACCACTGGTTAGGTTCGGGCTTGTCACTCATGCTTGCGGCGGGGTTGTATTTTGGTTCAGGGATGCCTCCAAAGCCACACAAGTCGGACAATGTACATGTGTATGTGGCGGTATCGGCTGAGGTGGTATCGGGACATGGCCAGCGTATAGTCTCGTTGGCGTTCGTGATTCCGTCCACGTTGTGCATGCAGGGCACGAATCTGGCGCCGAAATTGATCAAGACATACGTCGAAGGGCCGATCATGGGGTTGAATGATGGTTTTGTCATGATCGGAGACTTGGTCAGTTGGACTGGGAGGAATGTCAGTAGCCGAATCGCCGGTGACGAAAAAAAGAAAGGGCTTACCGTTCTTCACAATCTCGCCGATGAAGACGCCCACCTGCACCACGGTGAAGATGTATACCACCCAAGGAATACGGTTGCCATATGCGCCGAACATGCCCAGCTCGCCGAAGCGCACACCTTGCTTCCTCTCCTTCCGTCTACGCTGAGGCGCCTCGTAGACATGGTCGAGATCGTCACTCGGGTCCTTGGCTCCGCGATCCTGCAGAGGTATGGCGTCCTGCGGATGTCCCCGGTCATCGGATGGAGAGCCGTTCCCGCCGTGGTAGGACGTATCCTGGCCTGTCAGGTGCTGGCGACTCGACCCTGCAGACTGATACGAGGTCGCGGGGTAGGCATGGTCGTCGAAAACGGTCTCGAAGGGCGACACGGATTTGGCCGAGACCGGCGAAGGCTCCTGCCCTGGTGGCTGGGTGCCCAGGTGCTGCTGGGTCGTGTATGAGGGAGGGTTCGTCGAGTAGGAAGGCGCATTCGAGTACAGAGATGGTGCCGGCGCGGGTGCAGTGTAGGCTGACGAGCCGTATGTGTCTTGCCTGTGCTGAGGTGGTATCGAGGGTAGCGACGGGACAGCGGAGGCGTAGGTGTCGGATCTGGCTGGGTAGGCTTGGTGGCCCGGCATGGTGTTGCCTCGCTGAGAGTACTGCGAGCTGGCATAGGAGCCCACGGTGTCCTGACGATGAGGACCGTCCATGGGGGCAGGCGAGGAAGTCAGCGGTGGGGGTAGGGGTTTGTTCAGGTGGTCCTGGCTGTAGTAGTCGTGGGAAGCCATGACGGAATTGGGTTGCAGGAGCCGCGATCAGCTCAGCTCACGTTACGACCAGGCGCTAGAAGTTTAACCTTGATCCTCCCCAGATCCCAACCTCACAGTCGGCACGGCGGCCGAGAGAGAGCGAGCGAGCGACAACGCAGGCAGGACTATGTTGAACGAGTGTGGGCGTGTGTGTGTGTCGCTGCCGACGGCCAGTCGGAGAGAGAAGAACCAAAACGAAAGAGAATATGTCTGGAGATGCAGATGGAGGAGGGAGGTGGCGATGGGGATGGGGCGTCCGGCCAGGACGGGCGGAATGCAGATGTGTTGATTGAATGGGGAAGTTGGGGGAGGAGTAGGATCGGGTTCTCAGGAGGTTTTGGTTTCAGGGACCCGAAATCTTGAAAATGCGCTGCCGCTTTGATGCAGCTGTGCCTATCCCTGTCTGGACACATGCAAGAAGGCTGTACTCTGTCTACACCACTAACTACTTAAGTACCTAGATACTTAGGCACCTAGGTAACTTATCACTGCCTACTAGGTAGTTAGGTACTTGGGTACCTAGGTACCTTGCCGGAAGACATCCTACTAGAAGCACTCGCCAGACTCAGAAGAAGGCTGAGCTCAAGTTCATCTGCCAAGCAGACCGATGGTGGTTGTGGCTGTCAGTCTCGCTGCCCCACACGGCGCAGATGACAAACGAAGAGACCACGCAGAACGCTGAGCGCGGCAAGTGGCAGTGCAGCGAGTTGAACATGTTGACCGACGGCAGAGGTGGGCTGGCAACTGGGTGGTGGGTGATTGATCGATTGATTGCGAATAGTGGGCCGCAAACCGAGGCGGCTTCTGCTCGGCTGCTCGGTCTGGCCTGCCCAGCTCTTTGCGCCGTCCGACCATGTCATCATCTCTTGTTGATCGCACCCCCAGCTGACGTTGACGTTGACCTGCCCGCAGCAGACGGGGCGGCGAGTGGGTTCTGCCGGCAGAGACTTGGAAGAGGGGCCATGGGACTGGCTGGGTCTTCTGGCCCCATCAGCAATGAATTGTTGCTTGCCGCTGCCCGTTTTTAGAAACCCAATCCAGTTTCGGTATTTCTTGTGTCACGACGGACACATCACCATGGCTAGCAGAGTGTGGTTTCGCGTGAATTGCGTTGGGACTTAGCACGGCTCAGACGGCGTCAGCAACCCGTGCTGCAACTGTCATTCTGCACGCCTTTGTCGGCTTAAATGAGGAGGCTGCACCACCATCTCAGGGTCAACAGCCAACCCTTGAAAACCGTCCAATGAGTATGCTTATTCCGCTGATGGGAAGCCGACCGCCCAGATGTAGACCGCCACAGTTGTTTTGAATTGTTGGTGTACGGATAAACAGGGCCTGGCGCACAGCCATCAACTGGGATGTGCTGTGTACGCATACGAGAATATCAGCGGTTTTGTCCGTGGCGGTTCACTACCGGCGAACGTTGTGCGGTCAGTGGCTGAGCTGCGAACCGTATGTACGGAGTACTCCGTACCTATGCGGGCTGCAGCCGTCAACCACAGTGACCGCCTCACTACCGCCCAACTACATATTTGTTAGATAGCTGAGGAACCGTGAGAGTATAGACACTGGTGCTTTCGAGTAGAAATAATCCAAGAAGGTTGCAAGACAGGATACAAAGCTGGGCAGAAGCCGTGGTGGAACTGTATGTACTTGAAGCCCTGGTTTGAGTCTCTCCTCTAGACTGGTCTCTGAACCGCTCGAAAGCTGTCAGGGCTACCGGGGGAGGGGGGGAGGGGGGGGGGCTGGGCTGGCTCGGGGCGCGGACTGGCTGACACCTGAGAGATAAGGGTTGTTATCAGCGCAACCCAGACATCCCGCCAAAAAGTTTCGCGACGAGGCCTGGACCCTTTTCGAAGATCCCATCTGCACCCATCGCGCCGCGCATCATATTCACGACCGAAAATGGGAGCCGTACGGACAAAAACGGTCAAGAACAAGCACGCCACGCGTGGCTCTGGCATCAAGAACAGCAAGGCAGCCAGCAGGGTCGAGAATGACCCTGTCGTCAAGGCAAAGAAGAATAAGAACGGCGGAAAGGCGCCCCTAAAACCGAGCCAGATCGTCAAGGAGCTGCAGAAGAAGCGCAAGAAGAAGGTCTACAGCGAGAAGGAGCTGGGGATACCGAAACTCAACATGGTGACTCCAATCGGGGTGGAGAAGCCCAAGGGCAAGAAGAAGGGCAAGGTTTTTGTCGATGACAGGGTAAGTGCCGCGCAGCCCTGCTCCTGGGCAACCGCTCTGTCCTTAATCACCGGTAATCTATTTTGATCCGGCCACTGACCAACAATCCGCTGGGCAGGAGAGCATGAATACGATCCTATCCATGGTCCAGGCCGAGAAGGACGGCCAGATCGAGTCCAAGATGATGAAGGCGCGGCACATGGAGGCGATTCGCGAGGCGCGCAAGCAGGAGGCCGAGAAGAAGGCGGCCGAGCGGAAGGAGAAGCTGGACGAGACCAAGGAGTCGCTGCGCAAGAAGCGCAAGAGGCCCGAGCGCCGCGACGACGACGACAAGGCGACCGAGCGGTCCATGAGGAACGTTGAGCTGCAGGGCACCAAGGCCGCCAAGCCTAAGAAGAAGAAGAGTGTCTCGTTTGCGTGAGAGGAACCCGAGGGAGCTCCCCAGATGAGGGAACGAACCGCTTTGTGGGCATGCATGAGCACTAGAGGCGCGAGGTGGAATCATTGCATGGCGTTTTTGGAGTTTTCGGACAAACCGGCGGCGGATTAAAAAGATTCAGGCTCATGGGTTTCCTGGTGGATGGCTTCGCCTCTGTGTCTGGTGGTGAAATCTCACCTACACAGGACGACACAGGGCTACTCAACGGCCACTGGAAGTCGTTTCGTCCGAGGATCGCAGCCGGTGAAGAAGGATGGATGGCAAATTCGCTTGTGAGACTTCGGGTCCAAGTGCCGGTACCATCTCCTTTATCACAGGCTCATCCATGCGCGTTCGTCCTCGCTTGATGGGTCCAGGGACCCGATCTAGGACCACCTTCTAGTCTAATATTTGTCTAGAGAACAATCGTATACCCCAGGCCGTAAAGCGCCTCTGTGTCTATTCTAATCACTTCCCGCCTACAATGTCTGGAATCTTTCCCGTCCGCTCTGCCAGTCATAACATGCGTATGCGTGTTTGAATTGTTCACTCTGTGATCCTGACCTCCATCTTCCGCCGCATTGGTTCGAAGCTTGACCCATACTGTGGTTTGAGCACAGTGGTGCCGTTTGTCTGATTGTTGATTGAATTTAGATCTACATTTGCCGCCATGTACTTCAAGAAGTTGGATACCTAACACGGTCAGCACCACTTTGAGCCCCAGCAAATCTCAAGTTGGGACAGGTCATACAGGCTTCGCATGCCATCGACCACCGCTTGGCTCGAAGAACGCGAGGTGGCCACCGAGAGACGTTGTTAGGCAGACAGTATGTGGGTTCTTCTTGAACTCCTGGTAGGGTATGGCCTGCTCCACGGCGATCTGTTTATGGTCAGCAGTATGTTCCCGCACTGTGCCCCATGTGCCGGGGACTCACCGGGTCGTCTGCGGCCTGGATAGCTAGGTACGGTATTCGAATCGCAAGCACCGAGTCGCTCGAGGAAGCGTCACGGTAGTAGGCTGATTCTGTGGGATAACCCCAAGATATACACCTAGAGCCCCTTAGCGTGTGCCAACACATTCCGCTTTCAATTTCACATACTGGACTTCCCTATCGAACTCGTAAAGATAGGTGACGTTCTGGATGGCCTCAAAATCTAGCTTTGTGTGTTTGATTATGGAGTCTTTGTGCCGCATGATAAGCTTCTTCATGTTAGCTAGGAGCGCAGATAGTCAGCCAAGAGCACATTGATAGAATAGATCGTACCTGTTTGCACGAACTTCCCATGACCCGTTGGTACAATTCCTTGCCAAGCAGAGAGCCTTGTAGCTGAATATTGGACACCTCGAGGTTGAACGGGTTGCCGACAACGACGGCGGCGTTGAGGAGGCAGTTGGAGCCCTCCTCACCCACGAAGTTGGTCAGGATGTTGGCGCCCAAAGAGAAGCCCAGGCCAAACAGGGGCCGATTTGGGAACGTCCTCCTCGCCCACCTCACAACCTGCCTCACGTCCCAGGTCGCCCTCGCGTTGAAGAGCACACCGCTCGTGACTTCGCTGTTCGCGCAGCCCCTCGAGTTGACGACGCAGCACTCCCAGTCGCCGCCGCCCTCCGAGACCAACGGCTCAATGCAGTGTCGGAGATAGACCTCGTAGGAGCCACCTGATAGGCCATGTAGCACGATGAGCATGGGTCTGCTGTCGTCCGACGCCACTGAGTCGAATTCGGCATCGTTGAAATACGACGTCCGCGGCGGGAGGGCGTCGTCGTGTTCCCGGTGCGGAGGAGTAACAAAATCCACGGCAAAAGTGCCGGTGTAGGTATGGTGATCGGCGTTGAAGATCTTCCTCTTGTAGTATACCTGGGGTGCACTCTTGCCCACGGCTGTCCACATGGTCTGCAGGTGGCCGTTGAAGAGGAGCGGGTTCAACTGGCACGTCGGAGTGATCTTCTCACAGATCTTCAGCAGGTCGGTCTGGGTGCCATCCTTCTCCCTCAGTGCCAGGGGTGACACATGGTGAGTGTATTTTATCTTGGCACGGCCGAGCCAGTCCATTGGCGACCGCAAGGCCCGAAGGAAGAGTGATCGGGACAGTGTCGAGGAATGCGAGTGTCCCAAGGGTACGAGTGCGGGAGGCAAAGTCGATGAGATGAGATCAGAGAATCCAATGGGACTGACTGCACACCGGGACGGCGATGAGAATCTCGCAGAGCTAAAAACAAGGGCGAACGTGGCATCTCCGGATGCAAGATAACCTTCTCTGATTTGGGAGCTCGTGCATCAGACCTGCAGCAACGTGTGAACTGTCATCGGCAAAGCTGGTGGGGCACTCCTTGGATTCGCCTTGTGACGAGATCCAGATCCAGGTTCCAGATTCCGGGTCCTCGTCCCCAATGCTGCCTCGGCACCTCGGACATGATGCCGACCACGGCTCCGATGATGAGGTGAGTGCTGGGCATGCACGGGCCACCGGGCGCACGTGGCGGTCGCGGCTTCCAGCTTCCTTGAAGCCGCATCTGGCCAGGGATCGGCATCTTGAACCTCGACGTCCTTTGTAACTTTGTCCCTGCCCAGCCTGCTTTGCTGGAAGGTGCTGTGTGTCTCTGCCCCTTGCCTTCCCACCCCACCCCATCCCATACCTTGCGCTCCGGGATGACACGAACCAACGATGACTGCCGCCACGATTAGATGATTACGACACCAGAAGACCGGTGGATGAAATAAGCTGTAGACGGAGGGAGGTCCGGTCATTGGCAGCTTGCGCTGGAGTGGCAGATGCCGCCATGAACAACTGGGGCCAGCAGCCTGCGGGCCATGGGCAGGCCTACAATGGCCATGGCTATCAACAGATGGCCCCTCAGCCTGGATATGCGCAACAACAGCAACAACAGCCGCAACTTCAACAGCCGCAACTTCAACAGCCGCAACTTCAACAGCACCAGCACCAGCACCAGCAGCAGCAGCAGCACCACCAGCACCAGCATCAACAATATGGGTCTGGGAACTCGATGGCATTTATGGGCAACCAGCAATATCAGGCAGGCGCCCACTTCCTTCCTGCGCCTGCCCAGCATGCCCAGATGCAGTCGATGCAGCAATACGCCCACGCCCAAGTTCACCCTCAGGCGCCTCAGGCACATCAAACACACGCCCAACATGCCGCCGTTAACAACTTTCACGCGCAACAGCAGCACCAGCACCAGTACCAGCACCAGCACCAACAGCAACACCAGCAGCAACATTTTAGCAACGGCACCTACCAGCACCATCCGCCGGCCCGCCAGCTTCAGCCTCAACCACAGCTCCAACCTCAACTCCAGTCGCACCCTCAATACGTCTCCCACCACAACTACCCGCCGCAAGTAGCGACTCCTTCTCCTCGACCGATACAACAACGCATTCCTTCTCAACCTGTCCAGCCTCTGCAGCAGCCCTTACACTCCCAGCAGCAGCAGCAGCAGCAACAGCAGCAACAACATCAACAACCGATACACCACACCCAGCAGCTGATCCCCCAGAAAAGACGATCTGTGCAGCAACTGCAATCCCCACGGACGAACAGCCCGCACATGCCAACGGGACAACTACAAACCGCGCAACAACTACAATCTCCGCGCGTGAGCAGCCCGCACATACAACCGGCTCAGCTACAGGCAGCGCAGGCATACCAGTCCCCGAAAGTGAACAGTCCGCACATACAACCATCACAGCTGCATGTAACGCAACCGTATCAGTCCCCGCGACTGAGCAGTCCGCACATACAGCCATTACAATTACAGGCGGCGCAGCCGTACCAGCCGCCACACCCGAGTAGCCCACACATACAACCATCACAGCTTCAGGCCACGCAGCAGTACCAGTCGCCGCGAGTGAGCAATGCGCACAAGCCTGCAGCGAAGCCGCCACTGCCCCAGCAATTACAGTCTCCGCGAGTGACCACTTCGCACATCCAATCGCCCCAGCTGCAGTCAGCAGCGAAACTGCAGTCTCCGCGGGTGAACAATCAACAACCGCCGACAACCCATCAACAACAACCAGCTTCGACGGCACGCACGCCTGTAAAGGTCGAGTCGCCAGTGCCACCGCCGGCCCAGCCACCGCCGGCCCAACCACCGCCTGCGTTGCAAGCTCAGCAGTCTTCGGAACGCAAACCACCCACAACAGCGGTCCAGCCGCAGCGGCACGTTCCTGATAGTATCGATCCCACTCAGCTCCACATGAGTATCGATCCTACCCAGCTCATGTTGAAGCGGGAGCCCCCAGCACCCGCGAGGAAGTCTTTGCCTGCCCCTGTCGCGAGGTCGCCGAGCGTGTCGACCAAATCACCAAGCATGCCGCATGTGCAGACGCCAACGAGTCACTTCGACACACCTGCTGTTCTCACCTGCGTGGCAGATGACTGCTTTCAGACTGCCCATGCAGCTGTGCAGGACATCGCGACGTCGCTGGACCAGCGACGCGTGGACGAATACTACAAGCTCATTGCGACAGGCCTTGGTTGTCTCGACGCTGCGCTCAACCTCAACAAGCTGGCTCCACGCGCCGAGGCGAACGTTCGTTTGCGATACGCTACCGCGCTCAGTGAGGAAACCGACAACTTGATGGATGCAGAGACCGCCTTGACCAAAGGCATCGCGATTTGTGAAAAGAACCGATTCACAGACCTGAAATATTGTATGCAGTTTCAGCTGCTCAAAGTCCTGTTCAGGAGAAATCGCAAGGCTGCCTTTGTGGAGATAGAGAAGAACATCAACGATGCGTTGACGTACAAAGCAGTTGACTGGGTGTACGCCTTCCGATTTCTGAAGGCTTCCCTTCACCTACAATCCAGCAGCCCGGCTGATGCACCGGCCCTGGAAAACCTCCGCAGCATCACAGGCCTTGCGCAACACCAGGGGGACACCGCAATAGCGGTGTTGGCTTCTCTTCTTGAGGGCATCGTGCACCTAAAGGCCAGAAAAGAAGACTCGATCGTACGGGTTCAAACATGCATAGCACAAGCATCAAGATACCAGCTCGACCCGTCCGTCCAGATACCTCAAATCGAAGTTCTCACCTTGCTCCTGGACCTGGCCTGTACTCTGCAGCAAAAGGCGCCCCAGATCGCCATGCAGAAGCTCAAGGCACTTCAGGCACGCATGGATGAGCTTGTGCAGGCACACGACTGGGACAAGATGCTGGATGTTCTCCACCTCCCGCTCAAGAAACAGACAAACTCGAGTGCTTCCGTCACCGGTGACACCAAGACCATCGTCCAGCCTGGAGATGGGGAGCACAACTTCATAATCTTGTCATTTGTCACCAAAGTCCATGCTTTTGTTTTAGCGTAAGGCTGGTGATATCCCCGGTCCAAGCACATGTGGCTAATGGTTATCCAGGTATGTCCTGAGCGGCCTAGCGTTGTTGTACCAAGGAGCGAAAAGCGAAAAGGTCATGGAGTATTGGTCCGAGGCCTTGAACATGCTCGGGAAGAGTAAGTTGGCCCCGAAGTCTGTCGTTGATTCCACTTCTGACTTCCAATGGACATGTTAGCTCCTGCACACGCCCGACCACCCGCTCACTCCTTGCCGATGGCCATAGAACAGGCCAGCTGGCAAGCAGAGGTGAAACGCTACGTCTACGCCTTAATCGCACTGATATCGGCCACGCGCACACAGTGGAGCAAGGTGCACGACTGCATTCAGAAGATCGAAGCCCTCAGCCCAAAGCCCGAGGGCGGCCGGCTCGGCCTGCTGGTGCTCTACGTGACAGGAGTGTATTATCAGGGCACTGGTGATTTTCGCCGAGCGCTCCAGGTATACAGCGATCAGCGCTTCGCCATCCCAGCCGCCGGTACTGACGAGACCAATCCGGGGACACCTCCTCCTGAGGTAGCCCTTCTCGCAGCCATGAACAAGATATGGATCATGCAGGACCCGGCCCACCGGGACGACGGAGAGCTCACCGAACTCACAGAGAAGATCACGCCGTACTGTTTGGACCACGCAGATGTCGACATCCGGACCGCCTTTAATCTTATGCAAGCGGCACTTCAGACAGAACCGCGCCAGTCGATGCAGACGGTCAAGAAACACATCCAGGTTGGCCTAAAGTGGGCTCAGGGTGCGAACAACACCCAACTTCTCGCTGTAGCTCTGAACCTCATGCGGTCGGTGCTCTTCGAAAACGTCGTCGGCGACCAGGCCGTTAAGAGCGCCAAGGCGGGGCGGCAGCAGGCGCACAAGGCGGGCAACCTGCTGTGGATGAGCGTAGCCGACGGCATGCTGGCGCAGACGGAGGAGATGCAAGGACAAGTAGACGAAGCGGAACGGCTACGTCTAGATGGAACGCGATATGCGAACGAGGCCCTCGCAGGGCCTGGGGAGGAGTGAGGAGCCACGAGTACAAGCTCAACAAACAACTCGTGGTCGGCTGGACCTGTAATTGCGCATCATGGGTTCAAAAAGTAATGTTGCATGAAATTTGCAAGGAGCATTTATTTGGTCAGCATGTGGGCGTTCACTCAGGAGCCGCCTTGGCTTGTGATGGTGGCTGGTGTATTTGTCCTTTGGGTGCTTCTTGGGCTGGCTTTAAGATATACCCCTTGCAGCTACGAGCTCTAGCAAAAAGTTAAACATTCGCCATTGCCTAACAAGATTCCGCGTCTATACCTAGGTATATTTCCGAGCCCTGGTCGGTCGTCAACCACGCGGTCGCAGCAATCAATCCCGCATAACCTATCAGACAACCTGCAAAGAAAACCCCGGTAACTTCTCACCATTGTAGGGCAACCTCGTGGGAGACAGCTGGGAGACAAGCCTCTGCGGGGCCAGTCTCCCCAGGGGTGGCCAGATGGTCCCTGAGATGGGTCCTCACACCTACTCCGTAGAAGTTGGTAAGCCACAAGGGTCCTGGCATGACACTAGAAAGCTTCTTGAAGGTGTGGCGGTATTATAGCAATACCGTGTACGAAGCAAGCTTTCAAGTGTGAAGTCACGTATTTCTGGGGCCAAATTTGAAGCTGAGCTAACAGCTTGTGGATTCATAGTTAGTTATGTAAGCAGGCCCTGTAGGCAGCCAAAACCACGCTTTTGCAGGTGCCCTTTAATAGCTAATTCTTCTAATTAATAATCTAACTATTTATACCTTTAAATATTAAATTTCTTATAAATTTTAATATTTTAATATATAAGTATAAAATAAAATATATAAAAATAATTATTTTTATTAAAAGAATTTTATTTTATTTTTATATTTAATAAAATAATTATAATTAACTTTAATATTATTAAATATATTTTTAAATAATTATTAGTTTAATTATTATTTAATTTAAAATAAATATTTATATTTTAATTATATAAAGTTAAATTATTTTAATAATAATAATAATTATAAAAACTTTATTTATTAAATTAAATAATAATAATATTTATTTATTAATAATTATTATTTATAAATAAATAATCCTTAAATTAATTAAAAGTTTTATAGTAAATATTATACTTTTTTATATTATTATTATTAATATAATTAATTTATAATTAAATTAAAGAATATATTAATAAATATTAATTTTATTATTTTATATTAATTTTTTTATTTTTAATTAATTTTTTTAATATTTTAAATATTTATTTTTTAATTTAATAAGAATTATAAGTAATAATTTAAAAAATTAAATAAAAGTATAATATTAAGTTTAAAGTTATTAAAATAGTTTATATTACTTAAAATAATTATATTAATTAAAAATTTAACTTAATTATTATGTATTTTAATAAAATATAATTTTTATTATATTAAATAAAATAAATAAAATTATTATTTTAATAAATTTATATTTTTTAATAATAAACTTTAATAACTTTAAACTTTTAAAGTTAATATAAAAATAATATAATTAATTTTTAATATTAATTATATAACTTTTATAAAGGTTTATTATATTAATAAAAGTTTATTTATAAAAATTTTTTATAATAATTTTATTAAATAAATTTAATTTTTAAAATTTTTAATATAAAAATTTTTAAAAACTTTTAACTTAATATTATAAATATTTTTATTTTCAATAAATTTAAAAGAATATAAGTTTAACTTTATATTTTTATAATTTTTATAAATTATAATTAAATAAATTTTATAAAATTATTAAATAACTTTAATAATTTTATTAAATAAATATTTATTAATAAATTAAATTAATTTATTTTTATAAAATAATTATATAAATTTTAAATTAATATAATATTTTTACTTTTAAGTTATATTTTTTAATTTTTATTTTATAAAATAATTATATATTAATTTTATTTAATATTTTTAAAAGTTTTTTAAAGTTTTTATTATTATAATAATAATTTATAATAATTTATATTATTTTATTAAAAATTTTTATTAATTAATTAAATATTTATATTAAAATTATTAATAAGTTATTTTATTTAATAATTATAATAATTATAAAAGAATTTATTAAATATATTAAGGTTTATATTAATAAAATAATTAAATAAAAATTTTATTATTTTTAATAATAATTTAATTTATAATATAATTATTTTTTTTATTATATAAAATTAGTTAAAATACTATTAAAAAGTTAAAAGTTATATAATTTAAATTAATTAATATTATTTTAATATAGTTAATAATTTTTAATTTATAAATTAATAAATAAATTATTTATTTTATTTTAAAAATTTAATTTATAATATATTAATAATAAATATTAAACTTTATATTATTATAATTTAAAAGAAAATAATATTTATTTTAATTATAGTAAATAAAATTATTAAATAAAAATTATAAAATTAAATCTACTTTTTAAAAATATTTATAATTTATTAATTAATTAAAATATTATTTTAAAAAGTCCTTTATAATAATAAATAACTTAATTTATTTAATTAATTATATAATATAATTATAAATTAATATAATAAAATAATTAATTAAAGTTATTTTAAAGTAAATTTTTTAAAAATATTTAAATTTATTTTATTAAAAATAACCTTAAATAAAAAATATTATAACTTTACTTTTATATAAAAATAATAATAAAGTTAAAAACTTTTAGGAATCTTTAATAATATTTACTTTAAAATTAAAACTATTAAAGTATTTTTATATAAAAATAAATATTAATAATTTTTATTTTTTATAATAAATTATTTTATAAAATATAAAATATTTTATAACTTTTTTATATTTAGTTTATTAATAATTATAACTTTTATACTTTTTAATTATAGTTTTTAAATTTATTATTATTTTAAATTTTTAATAATATAGTTTTAATTATATTTATTTATAAATTTTATATAAATAAATAATATTAATAATATTAACTTTTTAATTATAAAAATATTTTTATTATTATAAAATTTATTATAATTAATAAACTTTTAAAGAATTTTATAATTTTATAAAATAATCTTTAATAATATATTTTTAAATAAATTTATTTTAAAAATAATTTTATTAATAAATAATATATTATATATAAAATAAAATTTATTTATTTATTTTAATTAACTTAAATTAATATTTTTAAAATATATAAATTAAAACTTTTAATTATAAAACTATATTTTAAGTATTAAAATCCTTTTTACTCTTAAAGTAATATTTAAATATTTTTATAAAATAATCTTTAAGTTATTATTTATATTAAAAGTATACCTTAAAGTTTTTAATTTATTTAATAAAAGTAATATTATATAAATATTTTATTAAAGATTATTTATTATATTAATATAAATAATTATATACTTTTACTTTTTTAAATAATTTAATTTTTTATAAAAGTAAGTTATATATAATTTTATTAAAGTTTATAAAAGTATATTTATTTATAAAAATAAAAGTTTTTAATTTTATTTTTTTACTTTATATTTAAAAATTTATAATTATATATAAAAAAGTTTAATTTAAATAAATTATTTAATATTTTTATTATAATTATTATTAATTAAATAATTATATTAAAAGTATATATATTTTATATTTAATATTATAAATTAAATTTAATATATAATAAATTATAAATAATATATTTTATAAACTTAAAATAACTTTTAATATATTTAATTAGATTTTAAAATAATAAAACTATTTTATTATACTATTTAATTTATATAAATAATTAATAATATTATTTAATTTTTATAATATTTTAATTATATTTAAAAGTTTATTAAAAGTTTTTATAAACTTTATAAGTTTATATATAATTTAATAAATAATATTATTATTTAAATAAATATTATAAAATAACTTTATAAATATATATTAATTATATTTATTTAACTAATATTTATAGCTTTATTTTAAATATATTTA